CCTTGCCTGGTTGATCAAAAAAGAAAGTAATTTATCTGGGTTAGAAACGACTCTAAACAATATTACACTGTTTTCCCGCAAAGGTATCAAATCCGATATGGCTGTAGCCATATTTAAGTATCAACTTAAACAACATAATACAGTTTAGTAGGAAACAAAGAAACTCCAATAAAGGTATAAAAATAGAAACTATAACAAAATACAAATATTAACATCACAAAGTAGGATTAAACAGAGTACCAAAATATTGAACAGAACGAGTCAGTAAGTACATATCACAAATATATAGATGGAGCGATTTTCCCAAAACAAAGCCTTCAAAATGAATTCTGCTGTCTGGCCTTACTGCTTCAACAGTTAAAGGTGCTTGAACGGTTTGAAATAAATATTCTGGTTGGGGTTTTTTCAGTAAATCTTTTTCCTATGAGATGAGGTTGCTAACCGTATATCCAAATCTCCCTCATTATGTAGGCTTCGAATCAGCAGTAACTCCAGGAGTTTCCCAGGAATTATACGGAGCCTACTGGTCAATATACGGCATATATTTTATCAGTTTGATAGCTTATTTCATTATAATTAAGGTTCCTGTCATAAACTATCATCCCTGACTGGTAGTAAATATGCTCAGTATGGGAGCCAGAGTAAGGTATAGTTAGGCAAGAATACGAAACAAGATTATCTGAGTATGTGCTTTTCCATCAGTAGGTGCAAAATAACTGATTCGAAGCCCATGGCTACTTCTGTTTTCTATTTTCAGTTTATCTTGTCTTTACTGATAGTCAGTTTCTTTCGTTATTAAATGTAAGTGCATTCTATATAATCACTGAATCGTCGGTTCACTTCTTTCCTGTTCGTACGGTTCACACTCCCTCAGCACATAAAGTACCTTCAGAATAGATTCAAATTAACCAAATCCTGAAAGTTAAAGGTAGGCAAAATTAGTATGAACATATGAGCTCTGGTTCTTTTCGATAGATATTTACAAAAGAGATCCAAACTGGACAGAATTCCTCCTTTCATTCTCTACTATGAGAACGAGAATTAAGAAATCAGAAATATCTTTCAACTATCTCGTTGATAGATAGTAAATGGCTTCGACTACAAATCTCAGGGGTACAGTAAATGATGCTATGGTGAAAAAGTTGATCTCGCTGGGCAAACCATACCACAATGGATTCTTGAGTTTAAGGTGGATGTTATGTCAATGAAAGAAAGAATAAGGGATCTCTACTACGAAAATTAAAGTATCAAGAGAAAACAGAAATCCTGAAGTCTTGGGCCACCCTACAATCTCATTGATACAACTTCGTCGATCTGGAAGTGGTTCGACGTGTAAGTTTAACTACGACATGGAGAGAGAGATGGGGATATCATCGACCCCGAGTCGTCAAAGCCTCCTTCAAAATAAAGAGACAGGAGGTCATAATGAACGTGATTTAGTACTATGCTCCCATCAACGATAACAGTGACGACAATAAAGATCAATTCTATGAACGGCTGCAGACAGTTGTAGAAAAATGCTTTGAAAAGGATTTGAATTTTCTGATGGGAGATTTTACTGTCAAATTCAGGATAGCCGTCAGCCTTTCGCGATCTACACGATGAAGAAGAAACCACCATGGAGAATGACTGAAATGGGTTCAAATAAACACTAACTTCAGCATGACATATGGTTCTGGGCCACAAGAAGTAATGTCACAAGTAATGAATCCCTCTTGATAATCTTGGTAATATTCAAAAAAAAGAACAGAAGGACATCAATCAAAAACAGCTAAACAGTAGTAGATGCACAAAAGCAAAGAAGAAAGAAAAGATGAGCATTCAGGCTGACGGACGTACATATTTTGAATACCTGGAAAGCTGCAAGCAAAGGAAATATGAGACAACTATATGGAGAAACGAAGAAGCTGGCTGGAATATCTAGTAAACCAAAACGACTAGTGAAAAACAAAGGAGGCAAACAAATTACTGACGTTGAACAGCAAAACAGGTTGGTAGAGCACTTTTAGGTACTCTTGAATAGACCAACCCCACTGAATCCACCCAACATCAAAGCAGCACATGCAAACCTCCCAATTGCTGTCAGCTCACCAACAGTAAAAGAAATCAGCATGACTAGTAGACAAATCAAGCGTGGTAAAGCAGTAACATCAGACTACAAACAAGCTGAGGCGCTAAAAGAGGACTTTGTGGTAATCGCAAACCAACAATGCTTCTATAGCAATTCAAAAGGACTAGGTGGTAAGCTATTAGAAATCAGGAATATTTGTTGTCAGATGGATTTGAAGATCGTAATCCTAACTGAAACATGGCTATCCACCAGAATTGCAAAGCAGGACGCTCTTCCGATGAGATAGGGTACACAAGAGAGAAGGCAGAGTGGCCATATATATTAACAGCTATTTCAAAGTCGAAAGACTATATTGCACTTAACTAACCAAGGGGGCAGAATCTTGTTTGTGTTGTTTCAAGACAAATGACACAAAATACTCAATTGGAGGGATTTACCGTCACGCCTCGACTACTAAGACCTAGAAGGATAATCTGACTGAGACAACACGGCAACTGCCACTCCTCGGGTGTGAAACAATACTCTCAGCTGGAGATTTGAACACTCCACCTCCAAATCTGAGCAAACAGGAAACAAAATCCACTAGAAGGTCCCAGACAACTTGGCGCAGCCATTAAAAGTTCTGGGCTGACTGGGCGTGTATGCCACGACATTAGATGGACTAAGAATGGAAAATCCCCAAACTTAGATTATCTGTTTGTTAGTCATGTCATTAACTAACCAATCAATTTGTGGTATAGGCGCTCACTACGCTCATTTGTTCTGGTGTATCTGTAAACTAACTCCGTTGCGTGTGACCTACCAGCTGAAAGACATTATTATTCTATTGTATTAATGTGACTCATAATTTTATTCATTTCTATAAGACACGCAATATTGGTCTGTATGTTTGTTGGTTTCACTTAATAGCTGTAATTTCCCTAATTATTGTACTAATCTAATTGTTTTTACGTTTAGAATCAGATAATGTTTAAGGCCAGGTTGTCCTTGTCCTGACTATAGCTTTCACACAGACTCTGTGCTCGCCAGTATCGCGTTTACGGTTCTAGTAGAATATCTGTTGGACAAATTAAATCCTACACTGTTGACAAATGATCACCTCCTGGTCGGAGATACTTAAGTCCCTATGACAAAAGGAAATATTGACCATGGCACAATCACGTTTAACATGGTCATAAACGAAACGCTCAGGCAAAATGAAAAAGCCCCACCTTTGCTACACTAGGGCAAACTTCACACACATGAGAGAGAATCTTTTAAATACCCCTAGTGAAGGGAATGGTGGAGGCTAACAGTAGATAATCATTGGCAAACAGTGATAGACATCACCCAGAAAGCTTTCCTTCAAAATGTTCCCTCTGCACACGACATATGGGTGAAGAGAAGTGCTCAAGTTAGGCAGGGCATTAAAAGCTTGCTACAGACGAAGAAGAGAAAGTGATACAAGTGGAAGGTCTCTCTGAGAAAACGATACAGAACCAAAGTTCGAAGTGATAAGAGACACTTCCAGATAAAGCTACTTGCCAAAATATAGGCAATCTCTAAGCATCTGTTAAGGTTCATAACAAAAGGAAAACATTCCATACAGGGTGTTTTTATACGCAAAAGTTGCACAAATTGTCTTCATTGACCCATAATCACCTTAGCTCAGAAACTACCATGAGAATAGAAGGTTTCACACCAAAATAAATCGAATGCATGTGAACTGGCGACTTTCAAAATCAGGATTTTCAAAAGGGACTATCTTAGGTTCATTCCTCATCCTGGCATTCGTTAATGACCTGTTAGATAAAATTAACTTGGTAGCACGATCTAGAGGTCTATATGAAGTGAAGTAAATTCGACCGCTTTTCAAACCGATCTTACAACAAAAGTGAAATAGTCAGTAGACAATCGGTAAAAACTCAACCAGTCAAAATATTACGTTATGAACATTGTGACTCACAAGACTCAAATAACTTACGTCCTCATTGTATGTCCGCTCCCCAATCTCTCCTCAGAGCACGACTTCGGTCTTATAACTACACAGAGACCAAACACTAGTTCAAAATATTTAGGGGAAACAGATATAGCTGACACAAAAATTCTCTTTATACGAAGAGAACTAGGTGCAATCACTCTACGTTTGTTGTTAACCCTTAAGATATAAGCACGGCCTAATGTTGAAGTTCACGATGCCATCGCACACCCTCTCCTTAAAAAAGAAGAAAATCTCTTGGATCGAATCCAAAGATGAGCAGCTGAATGGATGACAGGGTTAAAAAATATACCTTACAACGACATTCCCCAAAACGTGTGATTGCTCTCGTTGAGTGTACAACGAATCAACCCAACGTGAGCATCCAACAGCAGCATCAACATCACACCCTTCAAGGTAATCGCCGAAAAGTCGCTTATCAAATCGCGAACACCTAGGTTCATGCACAGTTTTACTCACTTAGAGTTGTTACAACTTAGGATGCTCACCCAGACGAGATGATGACATCTGCTTCTGCGGATACCTTCAAAGAGAGACTTAGTAAACATGTACTCAAATACGCATTAAAATTTCTCACGTAAACCTAAAGAACAAGAATTGAGTACAAAGAAATCAATAAGCTCATACAAGCTCGTGAGAAAGATATTAGAAACTGAAAAATACAAGAGGTTCATTGATAAAACGGAGAATACCTTGTCGCACAATCAAAATGTTAAACTGTCCCAAACGCAATTTACGCAGGAAAGTGAAATAATCTCATTTAAATAAATAGTGAAATATTTTAACAAGACGTTTCAGAAAAGGCCATTGGTTGTTTAAGTATCTGAAATGTGCGCAGTATAGTAAGCACATTTTCAAAATTCAGTGTTTGCGATTTTTTGATATGCATTTTGTATTATGTGTATAATGTGATGCTTCATCTGTTTTTAACGGAATTAAAGCACTCCAAAAATGTGGACGGAGTTTTCTTGGACCAAGTTTTTTCTTCGAAATAATGTTCTCAATAATTTTGTTCTAGTTTTGATTTTACAATCATGCTATCGAATTGGCTCTGAAATTGCCACATTCTCTTCTGTGTATCCAGATGATCCTTCTGTCCCATTCGCATTTACTTCACCATTTTATGAAACAATGTTAATTGATGATGGAAGTTTACATCAATATATTATTCCTACCCGTCACCATATGGGGGTCTCTGAACCATTTAGTGGCAACCCATCTGGCGATGTTGTATTTAATATTATGGATTTTGATGCTCGTAGATCTTTTCGAGCTGCCTGCAAAAAACTTGGTAAATTTTTCTTCATGCATCTTCATGCTTCATCTGACATTCCTGCTAGCAATAAGAGACCAAGTTATCGATTCAAAATTGAAGCAGTTTTTACTTCTCACAATACTTCGTCACTTACTCCGATCCGATTGAGCAATACCACCGAAGTTATTGTAAATGTCATAGTTATGCATGAAAACTGTCCTATCTTCACCAGAAATTTCCATCATTTTAGTGTTCCTGAAAATATCAGCATTCAACAGTCCATAGGAAAGTTATCTGCTAGTAGTTCAGGTTTCAGTGCTAGTGCACAACATTTTTTCTATGTAGACCCAGTGGAAATCGATATCCCTTTTCGGGTTGACCTGTATTCAGGTGACATATTTCCCACTCGTCTTTTGAACAGTCAACATACAAGTATTGGTTATCCAGAATTTATTCATGGAAAATCGGAAATCGAAAATTTTGGGATTTCTAATTACACTTTTAACGTCTATGTTGTGAGTCGTAGTGGCAGTGATCGCGTTCGTTGTAATATGGTTATTGCTACAAGAGTTGAAATATCGATTATTAAGTTCAAGCATTCAGATTTATCGATTAAGGTTGAACATCTTGAGGATATTACCATACCAGGTGCAGCTGGTGTAGCTTACGCTCGTGTTCACGTCTTCAATCCATCATCTGTCGATTCAATAACAGGACTCCGAATTTTAGAGCCAGATATGAGAGAAAAGTTTGAACTTGTGTCAACCTCCGGGAAAAATGAATGGTTAATTCAACCTAAATATGACATTCATTCTATTTCACTAAATTCATGGATTATGGTAACGTTGGAAGCTTACGAGGTTCCCAAGCTTTTTACCAAAGGAGATGAGACTTCAAGTGTCTCGACCAGCCGTTTCTCGCGTCTAAAAGTAAACATTACTTTGGTTTCAAAATCTAAGTATAAATTATTTTTGCCATCGGAAATAAGAATTCGTTTATCAGAGTCTACCATTGTAAATTCAACCATTGAGGTTTTAAAGCCATCAGCGAATTTTAATATGACCAATGCAAGCTTCGTTTTTACAGATCTTCGTAGTCATCATCAAAAATCGAAATCCGGGGAAAAGATCAAGTTGACGAAAAGTGGTTCTCTCGTGGTTGTGCAGCCACTTGATTTAGAGAATGATGTTTCTGTTCAAAATTCACTTCAAGCTTCTGTCAATAATATAATTACCATCCCTTTTACTGTTGTGGATCGCAATAATTTGTTATTAAGCAGCGCATCAGAGTCACGTATCATTGTTGAGGTTTTCGACGTGAATGACCTAGATCCTATTGTGCAAAACAATGGATCTGTATATGAAGTACCTGAAAATACCTCAGTTAATTCTCATATACTTTCAGTTGTTGGGTATGATCCTGATGTATCACATACAGACCTTTCGTATATCCTGTATGATGCTGACATCTTACCTTTTACGTTAGTTGGTCCTCGTAATGACCAGCTGGTGGTATCAAAGCCTCTTGACGCAGAGACTATGCCAACTGAGTTTGTAGTCCGTGTACTTGTTTCTGACTCTGGAATTCCGCTACCTCGTAGCGTTCTGGCCGTTTATATCATTCGAATCCTAGATATTAATGAACACTCTCCAGTTTTTGTGGAAGATTCTTGTGAAATTTCGTTACCAGTCACGGATGAAGGCTCCATTTTCTTCAAAGCAGCGCCATCATCACCAAGCCTTAATATAGGTCGCTATTTTGCTGAGGATTTAGATCGAGACGGTCAGAGTTCTGTTACAATTCATATAGCAGCTAGCAGCTTCCCGAGACCATGTTTTAAAGTTGAGGAACAAACAGGTGATCTAAATATTATTTGTTCGTATTTGGGTTCTCCAGGAGCTCAAATTATACTTAACCTATTGGCTTCAGATAGTATGAAAGTTTCCAAAGAATCATGCACCTTATCACTAAATCTAGTTCCTTTTCAAGAGATAGCTGGTGCTAATTTCACCAGGCGTTGCAAGTCATCTCACGTTTATGATAAATTACAAGCGCTAAAAGTACAAAAAAAGAGGTATGAATTTCTGCTTAGTCAGAATACCGTTTATGAGCTACACGTTAACCGCCATCGACCGCAATTCCCGACAGACTTACCTACTCGTATACATATTCCTGAAAACCTTCCTATCGGTACAGTAATATTGAGGTTTGCAGCTTCGGATGAAGATGGTGCAGATTATTCAATGGCTGGGCAGATCATATATGGATTAGAAGCTTTGAGGTCAGTTTCATCCGAAACCGAAGTATCAAAACATGCTACAGACGCAGATATTAAACAAGCTTTCCTACTGTTGCCGAATCCCGGTCTACATAGAGAACTCGTTAGCAACACCACATTCTGTTGTGGTGTTTCCCTGGTTGTAGCTGCTCCCTTAGATCGGGAAATGGTTTCCAGTTACAGTCTAATCTTACGTGCATGTGACCTTGGTCAACCACAGCTGTGCACCTTTTCTCCACTACTTATCGACCTTGATGACTTAGATGATAATGCTCCTGAATTTTTCAGTCCAACGTCTGCCCAGCAAGCTATTAGTGGGGTTCATATATCTACAAATCCTTCGCTACCACCATCTCTTACTCAAGATGTGGCTTTAAGTAGTATCAGCGTTCCCGAAGATACACAACTTGACACAATATTGGGTCAAATTCGAGCTGTTGATCGTGATGCTACGAGCGAAGTTCGTTATCATCTGTTAAATTTTCAGGATGTATTTAAGGTAAGTTGCATGTTTAAGTAAATAATAGTGACAGTGTCAAATTTGTCTTTTAAGTTATTGTTTATACTTAGTGTGTGTTTTTGGTGAATGTTATTATTGACAGTCATTATCATATCAGCTAGTTTTTTGTTAACTGTTTTTATTTGTATAGTGATATCAGGATTAGAGTTTTGTCTACCATAGATTCTCATCTAATTCATGACCAGCTCGATTATTAGTAAGGGTCTACCATAAGACCAACTGGAACAGAGACTAACATTAACTTTGCCATATAGATGATTAATTTATAATTTTTTCTTAGATTATGGGGATAATGTTAAAATTTAAGTAAATTGCTTCATTACCTAAGATGTAGTAGTATTTTATATTAAGTGAACCATACATTCATATTCAAGCCCACTTAACAAAAATTTTGGAAATGTAATCTATCTGTAAACGCTTGAAGGCATGATGTTCAATCGTCACCTAGATATGTGCATTAATGAGAAGGATAAGCACAGTATTTATCTTCGAGTTTTCCATCAAGTATCAAGATAACACTGGATAAGATGTACTTTCCATCATTTTATTTACACTGAACTATAGCCAGATTCGGAATAAATTTAACATCTCTTGGTACTAGAGATGTAAATTAGTTTATAATATCATAATATTAAACTTTTATAGACATAAAATGAAACTGGTGTACCGGGTTATATGATAACTTTTGTAATGTTTCATAAAAATCTGTGTATCTTTAGCAGTTCGTGTTCGAGTGTCTGTAAAACTAGATAGGATTGTTATTCATCCATTTATAATACTAGTTCGACAGGAAGTTTTGAGGCTAAAAGGCAGACTAACCAATCATAGGTTTCTAAACACTCTAGTACGGCCGAGGTTGAGGAAAGTTTTCCTGTCCGCTCGAGATGTTTTTTTATAACCCCTGTTAGAGAAGTCCCACTCACTGCATTCTCGTTTCAAGGGTACTGTTTACGAAATCGAGGAGACGAAGAGCAAATGTCAGGCTTAAACCAGGTTGTTAACTACTAGGGGTCCACCTACGGGAAAAACCCTAGTACCGATCCAGTGGTGCACACGGGCTTCAGGATCCTTAGGGAACAAATGTCGTTTGAACCCATTGTTGGTCACCATTTACCATGGGACTGCATCTCTTAACGTTGCTCCACTGTTTTGAGGATCAGACTTCTAGGTCAAAGGCTCGGGGGTAGCCTCCTAGGAAAATAACCTGCTGTGGTTTGGACACCAGGGCAGTATCCCATCCCACGCAAATCCAGTGATTTATGTTGTACATAAATATTTTGGTGCCGCTTTGTTCCGAAGTCGATCTGATAGAGGGTAAAATAGCCAAGCGTATCGGCCACCACTGATCTCGGGAGTTTCATCAGTCCTCATGGTCTAATATTTGACGAAGTCTCGGACCGAATACCGAAGGCTCCACTAGTTTTTGCCAACTCGCGTCACTAGTGACGCGGGGGCATATATGTCTAACAGCCAAACGATAAGTTTACTGCACAGTAGTTCGCTCCGTTTAAATTTCGGGATATAAACCATGGTCAGAAAGAATAGTATTCATTAGTATTGGGTTATAGATATTCTTGATCGTAGATATCTTCAGAGCACCGCTCATGTATTTTGTCACCACCGAGTGGGCAACACGTGGGTTAACAATAGGGTATTCAGTAGGTGTAACAAGTCAATTGATGAAGTTGTGAATCTTCGTCAGCTGAAGTAGTTGGGAAATGTGTGACGTGTGCCAAACCACTCACCTCAACGCACATTGTTGTCTGGTGTGGTAGTAAGCTGTGAGAAAGTTGGGGGCACCGAACCAAAACATGGCACTAATCTACGAACTAGTGATAGGGAGTGAAGTAGTCGAACGTGTAGACCGCTTCACTTATCTCAGGAGTCTCATCAGTGCTGATGGCCTAGTAGCTGACGAAATCTCAGCACGGATACAGAAGGCTCGATTGGCTTTTGCCAAATTGCATCATTTATGGCGTAAGCGAGATATCTGTTTGCTAACCAAAGGTTGAGTGTACTGTGCAGCAGTTCACTCCGTCCTGCAATAGAGATGCAAAACATGGCCGGTGAGATTAGAGGACATTCGTACGCTATTAGTATTTGATGTCTTGCGTTGTGTCTGCTGTATCTGTCTATAGATGTCTCCGAAGCATTGCTCGTATATCCTGGGACAGCCAAGTATGCAATGCTGTCGTTAGGAAACGAGTACTAGGTAAGTAAAATCAAATACTTTCCCATATTTCCCATTGTGCAACAGTACCAGTAGTGTGAAATTTCGGACCTTTTGTGCTCTTGACGTTTAGTTAATGGTGTAATATGACGGTTCGGTATGTCATATATGTTAGCAATACAAGAAACTATATCATATCAGACCTAATAAGTGATAAAGTCACAGATATCATGCCAACAAAACTTTTTATAAGATGCAAACCAATTGTACTTAGGGTTCTTCATTGTTAAGCTCTTGAATAGGTACCCTTATATTTCAGTGATTTGTAATTTGAAAGGCATTTTTCAAATATGAACTCTAACATTTTTCTATTGGTATTAAAAGGTTTGTAATTAATCCTTTCAGAACTATGAAATGAATTTTATTTATTTTTAGATACACAATCGAACTGGAAAAATCCGCTTAAAAGCAAAATTGGATAGGGAGACTCAAGCGGTATATGAGCTGTTAGTTTCTGCGATCGGCTATCCTCGTAGAAACCATCAACAGTCCCATTTTAGAATACCATACTTTGACTTTATGCAAGTCTCTCAAGCAGTTGACTACGATGTCCGACTCTCCACGAATACGCGTGTCCGTATTATAGTAACCGATGTCAATGACAATCCCCCAATGTTTTACTCTCCCGGTCTACCTCAAGAACCTCAATATCTATATAATAATTCATCTGGAACTGCCGGTTTAAATGCTTGGTTGGGGACTGATGGATATGTCATTCACGTGCCTGAAAATATCCCAGAAGGTGCTTATATAACTACATTGATGGCTACTGATAAAGATGAAGGCATAAATGCCTTAATCAGATATAGTCTATTCGGGAAGTTAGAAAGCAGTACAAATTGTTTTCATGCAGATCAGATGACTGGTGTTGTTCGTTTAGCCGCAGGATGTGATTTACGAAAAAGTAGCCGTAGTCATGTTCTTACTGCTTGGGCTATGGATCATGGTGCATCGCAGTTGTATGCTAGTATCTCATTCATTGTTCATGTCTTACCTGTCAAATTGAATATTTTTCCACCTCGTTTCAAGACTCATCCAGCTCTTTTTAGCGGATGGATACGTGAAAACCAGCCTTCTGGGAGCTTTGTTTTTTCAGAACGTGATCTTACATCCAAATTGCAATTGAAAGCATTTGATTCAGAAGGTTTCAATGTACTTTTTGCCATAGTTGGAGGATCAGGATTTGGTCTGTTTAGTGTGAACAATGATGGTAAGCTGAAAAATAAATCATTTTTAATTTAGATGAATGTTGATTCGTTTTAATACCCGTACATCTGCTTTCACGTATTAAGTCTCAAAAAAATGTGCATCTTAATTTTAACTAAACATTTCGTTCGCAAGACATCAGAAATTTTAGTGAAGTGCAGACCTAAAAAGTACAGGTAAAAAAACGAATTCCAAAATTAAAACTATTTAGAAATATACAATTACATTCACGAATTTTTGTGCTTCATAAGCCCCGTCATAGACCATATGGGCAAGGAGAATACTCTTAAAAGATGTTTGATTGTTTAGAGCAAGATAGTGTGTTCAGATTTACAATGGTTACGAATATCTAGCTTTTGGTTTACGAAGGTTGTATCACTACATGATATGCAAACGTGATAATGATATACCTAGAAGTTACTTCAAAGGTCAGTAACAGTTTATCTTGGGGACGCAACTAGGGAATGAAGTAGTCGAACGTGTAGACCGCTTCACTTATCTCAGGAGTCTCATCAGTGCTGATGGCCTAGTAGCTGACGAAATCTCAGCACGGATACAGAAGGCTCGATTGGCTTTTGCCAAATTGCATCATTTATGGCGTAAGCGAGATATCTGTTTGCTAACCAAAGGTTGAGTGTACTGTGCAGCAGTTCACTCCGTCCTGCAATAGAGATGCAAAACATGGCCGGTGAGATTAGAGGACATTCGTAGGTTACTAGTATCCGATCATAGGTGTCTCCGAAGCATTGCTCGTGTATCGTGAGACAACCGTGTAAGCAATGCTGTTGTTAGGAAACGGGTGCTAGGTAAGGATGGCAGGTCCATAGAAGAAGGAATGAAGCTTCATCAGTTGAGGTGGTTGGGACATGTGTTGTGTATGCCTAACCACCGACTACCTCGTCGAGCTATATTTTGCGATGTAAGGATAGGTTGGACGAAAGCTTGGACGGCCAGACCAAAACATGGCAGAAATCCATGAAGTCATTGACAAGTGGACTGAGTCATGTCGGTACTTGTCGACTACCTGGTTGGGGTCCGCGAGATGATAATAATCGATGGTTAGAGACCCTGAACGACATGGCTCAAAACCATTTGCGATGGCGCCAGTGCATTTATTCTTAGTGTTCTCTCAAATCCTAATCTTCTGGATTCCTCAACACCTCTAGTTTTGACTTTCTAAACTTATCTCACTGAATCATACTCCTTGAATAATATCTTCTAATCCTAACCTCTCCTATTACTTCTAATACCTTTACTACCTCTTCTACTATTGGATTTGAATTGACAATTATATCTCTGTGCTGATGTGGTATGGCAACATGAACTGATGTACTTGCGTACGAAGTTCCACCTTGTAACTGACTGACTGACTGACTATCTTCAGGACGGTTATTTAGGCGCCGAACGTATTGAACTGCCAATTTTTTATAGACATTCTTTTAGAGATACTGCTTTCTTCTGATTTTAGATATTGATCTACCAGAGGATTCATTAATTGATTTAGAATGTGCAGATGACATCGTCCCACTCGATGAAGACTGACCTAGTGTGGAATTCTCCAATCGTCTTAAGCAACAGTGCAATCATATTTAGGTTATCTCTCTTCATTTAAATGCTAAATGTCGCTTCAGGACTTTTCCGTATCAGTGCCCAAACTGATGGTAGGAACAGAACTTGTTAGGCATTTAAACCAGTTCATCATTCTTGGGAGTCTTATCAGTCTTGGTAGGCTGATGTCTAACGAAATCTCGATTCTCCGGCGTGCCCATCTACTGACCAAATGGCGAGTATATTGAGCAACAGTTCTACTTTATTGCTCTGAAACGTGACATTTAAAATAACGTGTTTGATAATATATGTCTTTAAGACAGGACATCGTGTGACAACCGAGTGAGCAATGCTTAAGGTATCGCGTACCAAGCAGAGATAACAAATAGGTTGATGAGGTGGTGAATCTTCATCAGTATAAACATTAAGTATGTCTAACCACCGCTTTCGTCAGCACGTGGTGTTTGCTTGTATTGGGTTTGAATGGAAGAAAGCTAAGGGAGCCCAAATCAAGATGTGCTATTAAACAATAAAGTTATCGACTGTGGGATTGGATGCTGTTGGCAAGTGCTGACTGGCGTCCGTACAATTATTGTGACAAGTGGTTAGAGACTTTGAAGTGCCTGACTTAAAAGTGGTAGCGCTGGTGCTTATAAATTCACTGTTCGACTTGCCTTAGATCTTCAGCTTTAAATTATCTTATTCTTTTTATTCTACTAATTCTTTCTTATCGAATCATCTGTCCATCTAGTCTTTTTATTACCATTCACTATACTGTCACTACTCTGGGATTTCTTCTTGATAATTTCATTTCGCTGTGCTAATATGGTGAATCAACTTGGACCGATGCACGTATGTGCCTGTTGCTGCTTATTACTGGCTGATTAATTGACATAATAGTCTATCACGCCGTTTGTCATGATTATTCATCTCGTTTGTGTCTCCTTTTTGAAGATTGTGTAATGGAATTTCGCTGTTTGATAACTAAATCGCCATTGTTACTCAGGTCATGTTTTCTGTTCTCCTTTTTTTTTCATATTTCGTGTTGATTATATAGTTCTTATGCATAAATATTTAAAATTGTTCAGAATTTGTTTCTTATCGTTTTCATTGCTTAAGTGAAGTTCTCATTTCATCAACGTTTTCAATTTTTTTAAGGTTTTATATTCAGTACAAGGGAAATAGATGCTGAGTTAGTACAAGAAGACGGAGGATTTTGGTTAGTAGTTTATGGACTTGGATCACCACACTCATCTACCTCTCCTCTATTTGATTCTGAAACTACGGAATCATATATAGTTTCGTCTGATTTCGGTGGACCATTGTATACAATTGCCGAGATATTTATTGAAGTAAAGTTTCTTATTGTTTCGTAAATGTACTTTTCAATATCTGAATGACACCCATCCCATTTTGTAGTTAAAAACTATTTTAATTCAAAATATCAGTTCTCAGAATGAAGCTCCGTAAAATTGTCTAAATAGTTTCAAAGGATTCATATCGAACTACTTGTCTATTAGATGAGATTTTTCAAATCATATCACACCTTTATTCGTGTTATTTGAAATTTTGAATCTCATCATGTAATGAATGAGCTTAATCAATAAACATCGCATCAATAAGCATCGCATTAGGACTTTAGTATAATGCCTTATTAGGTTATTTTAGAGAAATGGGACCAATATGTTTTCATTACCTGAGCTAAGATTTTTGCTTAATGAATTAAATAACTCAGATTTTACGCTTGTTAATAAGTGTGTAACTGATGCTCTATAGTAATTCGATTACTCTGCAGATGGAATTATTTTTAACTTTGAACCGAGCTTTCACGAAACGCTTGAACGCTAGTTTTAAAAAACTCATTGCCACTATATGAACGGGCTGATTGTTGACTACAGATGTTATGTAATAAATTATATTTAACAGTGCTGTTAAGTTCATTAAGTTTGTCAACGTTAAACAAAATTTAAACAGGTTAATAAGCATACCAAAATAATTTGCTGTACAAAGTTACACAATCTACGCTATTTCATCTATATATATTTTAGGTGTGATATATGTTTTTTGAATTTCAGATCATTGACGAAAATGATCATTTTCCTGTGTCTCTAATTCCACAATACCACCATCGCCTATTGGAAAATTCACCTGCTAATATTGTAGTAGCTAACATTGTCGCTTCTGATTCGGATAAAAGTACAAATGACCTGACCTATATAATAGCAGCTGGTGACCCTCAAGGTCACTTCGTGATCGACTTTAAAACAGGTTAGTCTCTTAAGTGCTTATTAGCTTCAGTTTCACCTGTTTGTGTTAAATTAGTTGTGTCTGAATGGCTCATTGTTGCTTATTATTTTACCACCAAACTCTTAAATACTTACACGTTATATTATTAGGTGTGTTGACGACAACAGAACGTTTACTGGATCGGGAAGCGGTTCTAAAAGATACGGGAAGAGTAGAATTGAACCTTGTGGTAAGTTGTGTTGTGCAATAATTTGGTGGTTATTTATACGTTTTCATACTAACTGCAAAGTTCGTTTAGCTCATACAAAGTAAGATACAACATACATTTCCTGCTTCTATATACCTAATTGGGGCCTAAACTATGAACTTTATTTGTCAGATTGTCTCATGAAACAGTATTTTTCTATAAGACATGATAAATTATGCATAACTACATAGATGTGTTTTTTGATTCTTGGTTACCAAAACTGATTATTTCACACAGCTTAAGTTAGAGAAGTAATTAAAGTTGAAGAAGGGCGAATCACTATTCTAGTTTACTTGAGTGCTTACCAACAGTACATATCACTTTTCCATTATAAAGTCTGTTTAAGTAACCTTCGGTTTCGATTTGAGAAAAAGGTTATTTGGCCGTTGGAAATGGGTAGTCGCATTCCAACTCTATTATCGGTATTGCACACCATTAAAAGTCTCAATACAAGGTGAAACAGCTTTCCAATGCCTTTTCACTTTCAATGATTCTGAAACTGAAGTGACTTAACTTTTATTGTCATAAACATCTGGTTAGTTTATGAATTATCCATCTCGTAGTGTTAATTGAGCATTTATTTTTTATTGTTATCAAATCCATATTGTGTATGCTTTCTTCTTAGGTTAGTGTATCTGATTCTCAGTTAAATTCACGATCAATTGAAGTTTCAGTTGGAATCGAATTAATAGACATGAATGATAATTCACCTCAGTTCGTTTATACTGCTCCAAATGAATTCTCAGAATATATTATGGGTGCAGAGAACCCTTTCTATTTTTTCCAGTATTACGCAACAAACAGTAAGTTTTTTCTACTACTTGTTAAAATGCATAATTTCTATTTCCATATCCTATTTTAATAATTTTTTCAAATGATCATTTAGCTGGAATATGTTTGGTTATAAAATTTGAGCAGGCTTATTTGATTTTCTTGGTTGTGTTAAGCAAATGAATTATGTAGTTCCACGAGTACCGTCAAGCTGGTTACAGTTGTGATATCAGCATTATATTTCCTCTCCTCGTCTGAATTTTCAGGAGTAGACCTTTTACCAGGTGGCTCGCTTATTGACTTAGAATATGCTGATGACTTTGTCCTACTTGGTGAAGACGCTGACAAAATGCAGAGTCTTCTGACTACCCTAAGCAACAATGCAAGCATGTTCGGGGTGCGGTTTTCCCCCTCGAAATGCAAAATGTTGCTTCAAGATTGGGTTTCATCGGCACCTGAACTAGTGATAGGGAGTGAAGTGGTCGAACGTGTAGACCGCTTCACTTATCTGGGGAGTCTCATCAGTGCTGATGGCCGGGTGACTGACGAAATCTCGGCACGGATACAGAAGGCTCGATTGGCTTTTGCCAAGTTGCGTCACTTATGGCGTAGACGAGATATCCGTTTGCTGACTAAAGGACGAGTATACTGTGCAGTGGTTCGCTCCGTCTTACTTTATGGCTGTGAAACATGGCCAATGAGAGTAGAAGATACTCGTCGTTTATTGGTTTTCGATCATAGGTGTCTTCGAAGCATTGCTCGTATATCATGGGACACCCGAGTGAGCAACGCTTTTATTTGGAAACGGGTACTAGGTAAGAATGGCAGGTCAATAGATGAAGTGGTGAAACTTCATCAGTTGAGGTGGTTGGGACATGTGTTGCGTATGCCTAACCACCGACTGCCTCGTCGAGCTTTGTTTTGTAGTGTAGGAATAGGTTGGAAGAAAGCTAGGGGCGGCCAGACCAAAACATGGCATAAATCCATGAAGTGATTGACGAGTGGACTTAGCCATGTCGGTAGTTGTCGACTACCTGGTTGGGATCCGCGAGATGATAATAATCGATGGTTAGAGACCTTGAATGACATGGCTCAAAATCGTTCGCAATGGCGCCAGTGCATTTATTCTTTGTGTGCTCTCAAATCCTAATCTTCTGGGTTCTTCAACACCTCTAGTTTTTACTTTCTAAACTTATCTCACTGAATCATACTCCTTGAATAATATCTTCTAATCCTAACCTCTCCGATTACTTCTAATACCTTTACTACCTCTTCTACTATTGGATTTGAATTGACAATTATATCTCTGTGCTGATGTGGTATGGCGACGTGAACTGATGTACTTACGTACGAAGTTCTACGTTGCAACTGACTGACTGACTGACATATGGGGGTTCTGAATATTTAGTTATCTATTCTTTATATACGTGTCTATGTCGTATTGTTGTACGGTTGCGAACATATGAGTACTAAAGCCAGTGCATATTGGCATTCACAATGTACTACTTGTCCTTAATATAAAAAACGTCCAATCGCATTCAACGTACAACAAATAGATGTTTTACAAATTTAGCTTAACTGTGATTTTATTATGAGGTCTATTATCAGTTTGTCTAGTTTGTGATTTTATTTCTTTTCTTTAAAATATCGACCATGAGATAAGCTTAACGAAATCTTCTATGACATACTGAAGATTGATCTGTGATCAAAATTAACTCTAATATTACACCTAATTATTATTAATTGTTCATTAATTTCTTTTTAATCCTGACAATTCTAGTTGATTCAAAACTATTAGTTTCGGAATTTTTATCACTTATGCTGTATACTAAAAGATATATCATAAATTTTGTCATTCATAAATACCTTACATCGATTTCGTCTTGTAAAAGCCAATAATAAACTAATTCATATTGCTATAATCTAACTTGTAACATAAGTCTCTGTTGGATAGATAAATATCTCATAAATCTGTGGTTTATTCTATTAAATATAGTTTAGACTAACGGAAAGGACCATTGTCATTTGTGAAATAGTTGAAAATACTTTTTCATTTGGTTTCATAAATAACAAATAATCTTGATAAGTACACAATTTAATAATTGATTTACAGAATATCAAGATAAATCTAATTATAAATCGATATTATTCATTAATTTTCAATTATTCACTGTCTTTTTTCATGCTTTCTTTTCCTCTATAAAGAACTCTTAATTCGCCTTGTTATGTCATGACATATTTTTTTTCTGTTTCTGGATACAACATTATTGATTTTGGTGGCTACCATCTGGAACTGATTTTTCGTCCCTTCTTATGTGTACATAATTCAAATTAAGATTTAATTTTCCCTTGTTTTCTTGTTGTTGTTGTTGTATGTTTTTGTGATTGCGACATATTGTTTTGATTATAATCTTGAACTAATTGCAGTACATTCCATAACTGGAAAGTGTCTGTCTAACAGCTGTTTATTTTTCTTAATTAATTGTTATATATTTATCTATCTCTCTAGTGGAATTTATTTTATAGATATTTTCTAATAGTACTCAATATGATTTACTGGATTTCAATTTTTATTCATAAACAAAGTGTTTTTGATATATTTTACTTGATATAAAATGAGCTTATCTTTCGATTTAGAAAAAAATGTGTAAACAGTTACCCTAATTAGTTGGTAGAAATGCATTTTATAATATCCGAAGATTAATTCAAATATTTTATGCATAGATATAATCTGAAAATGAAGTTTTTTTTATTTAGTCTTCACAAACTGTCACTAACTAATGAGGCATTTAAAAGCAATGGACAGATGTTATGTCCTACTTTGGTGTTCAACCATGATCTCACAAGGATTAGGATCTAAGACTTTTATGTCTCACAATACATACGGTACCTTTAAACATTTGGTTCACAATCTGTTGACCTACATCTCCAACTTCAGTGAAATATCAATATAATGGGACCGTCATCCAAGACTATTGATAATATCTATCTCACTCCTTGACATAGTTTAACTCCATCAATCATGAATTCTCTTCGATTTTCAATGGTTCTATAGTTAATGTCGATAGTCGATGAAAAATAACTTTAGATTGAGCAATATTCAATAAATTTATATTATAGCACTGTAGTTATTTATTGACTTTATAAATATAAATAACAGTTTTACATTTATTCATCTTGTGCTTTTCATAGTAAGGTAAAATAAATTTATTATCTTATCAGTATTACATTAAATAAAGAGATTAACAAAGGCAATAACAACAAAAAGAAATTTCCACTGTACCATATGTATCACTGTTTTAGTTGGATGACTGGAAAAATAACAAAATGAAGTCAGTGATAAATTAAGAATACAATTTCAAATTAAAACATTGATTTTTATCCAAGTTGTAAACTGATCGAATGAATGATACATGATATACAATAACTGACCAACTTGGAGTAATGAAAGTTCAATTTTTATGAGGATACCATAAATACTACCTTAAAATTTACCTTCTAATGCGATTATTGTATTATTACTATAACAAGGTTCACTTCTCGTGTTGTTGGTAGAAAAAAAAATTAATTTTTTCATTTACTCCCTCACACCTTATACATCTTACTCATTTAGATTTTCCGCTTTTTTCTCTCTTTTTCACCTGTGTATGTTTTTGAAATATTTTTCGTTTACTTACAATGAATCATCGGTACTTGAACTGTGGTACACATGCATGTTTAGTTGTATACACCCAGAAAAAATTAATATATCATGAATAATAAGGGTAAATAAGATCCTACGCATATGTTTGTTGATTCATTCGAAAGGTCATCATGATTAACTGTTCAAGGTCATAGTTCGATAGTCTGGTTTCACTGGGACCGTTGGTTATTGAACATTTTATTCAAATGGAAGTATGATAACAATAGTAAATCTATCATCATTTTTATTCTCAATGGAATAAATTTAATTTATTTAGTGAGAATATCAATATCAATAATATCAATCGATATTAATCATGGTAATAGCTTTATTCAACGGTATATGGAATTCTCAGCGTGAAGTATTTCAATAAGTTTCCTTTAAAAATAGTTAGTGATTGACAACTCGGAGTAAACGGTTCAGGAATCGATATCTTATTAACGGTCATTCTTTTCCCATCAGATTGCAAGCCATCATGATGTCTTGGATTTTGATATCTCGTACATTGTGTAGTGATAGCTCGCGCCTGATTAGATTACGTGATCAATAGACATAGGTGATGTGTTTAACCAGGTAAAAAAAGAGATACCTAGTTGAAATATTTTGATTTCTGGAAACTGGTAGCCCAGATATTCAAGCAGACCGCCAGTAATATATAGCCAATTGTTTATAGATTTTGTTTTAGAAATCCTTTATTCAAGAATACTCGCTAGTCCATAACAATCTACAACGACAATAATGTTGTACTGACGTCTATGTTTTGAAGTTTAATGGTGTGACAATATTTCAAGTTATTTACAGATATTATTCAAAAGTTGGACCTCTTTTCATCCGTTTATTTTACGGTTAAATAATAATTATAATTGCTCAATATACAGTGTACTAAAATTTTGTCACAACCCAATGTAAATTGTGAGATTTGACCAATTTTAAACGTGAATAGCGAAACGGTAACCAACATTAAACAATTGAACAACAGTTAAGCAACTTGTTTGTTTAAAAAAAAACGTGCGTTACAAACTAGATTGTTAAATGGTTAGTACGATACTTAAATGAATTCATCAGAATTAGATTTTTAAATTTCAATGGATATGTTGTGAAAAAAATTTTATTCGATAAAACATTTTTTTATTTTTTGTTAAATAAAACAACTGAAAGGATATTGGTTGCATTGGAATGTACAAACGTGTGATAAACAAAATAAATCTTTCATTTCATTTCTTTGTTTACTGTTTGTTTACCGAAAGCTTACACATTTGCACACAATCTTTTTATGTTGATATAACATGTGTAATTAGTTAACTAACTGTCCGTTATTCATTACAGTCTGTTCTGCTTGCCTTGCCTTTACACTTTTCTTTGAAAAAAAAATCAACAAAATACGGATGAAAAGTCGATTTACTGTGTCTAGTTTTCGAACTGTTATCATACGCCTGTTTACTCATATATATTCATTTATTTTTAATACGAAAGTAAACATCGTGGAGTCTGACTGACTAGTTGATTGATACTCTTCTGGAAAATCGCTATAGTAATAGTTTTCCAGTCAAAATCCCATAACATCAGTTTTGATTGTGCAGGGAAATTCATATAATTGCAGCTTTCGTCTCCTTAGTGTGTGTGTGTGTGTCTGTGTGTTTGAGCAATCATTGTAGGTTTGATGTTAACAAGAACTAATCGAATCTCCGTGAAAATTTCACTTCACTGATTTTATTTCTTTTTAGTTTCAAATCCAGTTATTTGTGTTGGACGTGTTTTTGCCTTAGATTTGGATGCTGGATTAAATGGGACTGTTATTTATGAACGTGAATCTTTAACTAGTTTTCAGTTAATAAAAGATGGTGGTTTTGATGTGATTGAAAATAGTGGTTTGATCTGTACCAAGAATGGTCTACCTCCTGTTGGAGAATATAGAATTCAAGTGGGTCTATAACATTTTATACTGTTATTTTTCATAATTTGAAATTTTATGCCCAATTAGATTAGCATTCATCATTTATAGTTTACCACAAATAAATCTGAGCTTATTTTGTTCAGAAATCTATTACAATTCGTTTGAATTATCAGCCCAAATGAAATAGATTGCAATAATCATCACTTTTAATTGAAATGATTTTGTAAAGATGTTTAGTTATTTAGCACCAAAGAGCTCAAATTCATTTTCAGTACATGCTCACAAATATAACAAAATTTAGTTTTATAGCGAGCACAATATCATAGAACTACTGAGTTGTTATTTATTGGTGTAGATTTGCAACCTTATTCAACCTCAATTCACTCAACATCATGTATGAAGTTAGATTGTAATAAAATGTAATTACAGACAAAGACATTTTTGTTATAGTTTAATTTGATTTAACTATTTATACATTTTTAAGCTCTACATGTTTGACTATTCTGGTAGTTTGTCGTTTGTTCGCATATTTGATAAGTTTTTTTTTGTTAGGTCTTTATTTATAGACTGTATTTCACATAAAAGTTCACATGTTTTTATTTAGAACTCATTGTTTATATCATTTTATTTGAGAGAAAAAAACAATTAAGCGGTTTGAATGATCAATTTTCACTTGGGTAATTTGAACTCATGATCTCTTTATAAAATGACAACTAGTACATTTTATACCATGCAATCATTGTGTTAGAATTTAACATATAACAATTGAAAAAATTAATTGGTGAACTGTTTTATAGCCTTATGATTATCAGATATTCATCTAAGAGATGTGATCTCTCGCCTTACTTAATTGTTCATGATTTATCTACACATGCTGGTCATAAGTAGGAGAGGGAATGGCAAGAAAATTCAAAACGATCTAATCATTTTGTTATTTAAATAAAATTTAGTATTATTTTTTTTCTTATTGTTTTTCCTGTAAACAATTTTCTTTTTAGGTATATGCTAAAGATAGAGGTACTCCAAGTTTACGTTCAAATGAAGATCAATCAGCACTTGTCGTCATACGTATTCTTAAGTCTCCAGAAAAATTAATTGACAATAGTCATTCAATAAAATTTACATCCACACCACCAAATACACATTCGATTAATACCAATTGTATTATTGGTGAGAAACTTTTCAGTTTTTCAGTTTATGATTCTTATGATCCTAGTGGAATGAAATTGATATTTGAACTTTTGAGTAAGTTTTTCTCTCTTTTTTTTTCGATTCATGAAAAAGTGTATCACGTTGTTTTTTTTCTTTTTGCATTTTTCCCTAGTTGTATATCACGGTTCATGCTGTTTAATTACACATGTTGTGAATATATAATGGCTTTAGGTATTATAGATTTTTACCATTTTGTTTCTTCTGTTTGTCTGACTATTGAATAATCTTCAGACACTCAATTTAGCATGTCAGTAGTTGCACTTTGGATGACTTTTTACTTGTCAATTTAGTGCAATGTATATTTTTGGGGAAATAATTGAACTTTTCCTTTCAAAGATCATTCTTAACAATGTTATTTAACTTATGACTTTAAATTTAATGTCTGTTAACTTGTTATTATTCAATGACAACAAATATGTGTCATTTTTCCCAATGACTAAAATTAAATCACAAATTTATTGAATTCCGTTTCATGATTTTTATTAAAATAATTTGCTAATTTAATAATTGTCCTTTTCAAAGCTTGAAATACGCCATGAGTGTTAGGTTAAACCATCTATTCTTAAACTACTCAACCGTATTTAGATTGGGAGTCTGCATTCTACTTCAAGTGACTTAAAAACATGTGGTCTATCTCAAGTGATGAGTATACCATCACTAGATTTCGATGCATAGTGTTGGTTCTGTCAATACTATTCTTTCAACATATCATGTTTTCGAGCTACTGTGACCATTGAAAAACTAAGTAAAAATAACAATTAATTACTACTATAAGATTAATTTGTGATTTATAAATTGAACAACTGATATATATGCTCGCCGATTGATATGCTTGAATGCTATTACGAGTTCACCGTGCTTGGTAAACGCAACGAAAGCAATGACTGAGTGACACGATAGGCTATTGTAATCCGTCGTCCTAAGCCCCGCTAACTATAGCAAGAAGTCTTGATAAGGCGTAAAAAATGTATTCTACAAGCACCCAGAAGATATGAAGTTGCTAAACACACAAATCAAGCTTATTTATACAATCATAACAACGTCCTTGGAAGAGTCACAAAATAGCTTACTAAAATAATCCATCGGCTAATGATAGTCAAGGGTTTTTCGGGTGGGGAATGTAGGCTGAAGGTCAACGAAGCGTCTTATACGCGAAAACATAAAAAAATTCAAAATTAGAACCCTTTCCAATTGAGTTCTGGGGTTCTGACGTCCTCAACAACAACACAAGTTCTCCTAGTCTTTGTTGAACATCAAGTCGAGATATAAAAACAAAGGAATAGCATAACACTTCGATTGTATTCATTTCTTTTTTCGAGTTCTTATTGTTTCCTATGTATTTCCTTCTAAATGAATTACTTATACCAACGAAACAGTCTACTTGTGCTGAACGTATCTACAGAAAACAAATACTAACCATCAATGCTGGCTTGTATTCAACACAGAAAGAAAACTGACAACACTAATGATGTATTCTCTTGAGATTATTAATTCATTTTCATCCTTATTTTTTTTACCATCATTCAATTCCATTAATTATGCTAGTTTATTTTATCAATAATACTTTTCGCTAAATCTGTTTTGGGTCTTTTGTTGATTATCATGATTAATTCATTGACTAAGTACAAATCCGTAAACGTATTTACGAGAGGTAGTGATACCGTCGGGTTATGCAGACTTAAAAATCTTGACCAGGTTTCGGACTTGAGACTGAGTGAGTGGCTGAAAGTTGAATGACTTAACCACTGAGTGAGTGATTATCGTGGCTGGCTTCTAATTTATTGATAATAACTTCCTAACTGATTTAGAAAATTTTTCTCTTGAGATCCTACTTACACGTTTGGTGTTAAATCGAAGTAGTCAAATATGTAGTTTAAAAAGCATTTGGTAATAATGCCACTTAGCGTTTGTTTGTTTTCCAAAAAAAAATCCTTCTGATACCTACATTTTTATACAGTCTATTTTCCTACAAACATTTCATCCAATCCGTGATTGGAATTCTCTGGCGCATATCTCTACTGTAACACGTTTACTTGGTTAATAGAAATCTCAGTGAGATTTTGTTGTGTTTCATGTTTTTTCTTTCTTTTTGAAAAAAAAAAGAACTACAAACTAAATTGTGTAATCGTCTTTTTTTTTCTCTTTACACATTCATTCAACTTTTGATTATGTTTGCTTCCTTTCTGTTTAAAGAATAGTAGAAAAAAAAAATTCATACTCATTTCCGTATTACATTTATCATTCCTTACTACCATTTCTTTTTTGTTCACGTTTGAATTTTGACTGATTTACATAAATCTTCACTACTTCCCCCCCCCCCCCCAATGTTTAACTTGATTTTCTTTTCATATTTTACTTTAACTACCTGTCGTTCATCACGACTATCATTTATTTTTGTCAGCATTTTTATTAGTTTTCAATAATAATAAAAAAAAGTGGATTATCCATTTTTAAAGCGTGTTAAAAGAATAAAAACAGTAATCTAGTCAATACATATATATATGTATATTGCAGTAGACACTGTTAGAAGTGTTATTTAATAGACTTTATGATTTTCCTAGAAATATCTCTCATATTATTGTTGTCCGATGTATTGATTTTGTTTCAGCTTTCATGAGATTGTTGACCTAAAATGTCTAGAACATATGTTGAAATGATATACAATCCTTGTAAATTTACACATCTACTAATGTTTTACTGTGGAAAGATTTTCTTATTGTTCTAACTAACACTATGTCATCAACCCATTAAATGATCAATTAACTGGTTTAATTTTTTTAGTAAAGATGATTGTAATGTTTTGTGGTCAATGTCTGAATGAATATTGCAAAAAAAATCGGTCATTGGAGATTTTTAGTTGAGATAATCCATTCTAGACTGATACCTATTATTATTATTATTATTATTATTATTATTATTATTATTATTATTATTATTATTATTAATATGAGGTTAAGTTTTTCCTGTTGGTTAAAAGAGATGTGATAACATAAACTGTATTACTATACTGTATTACTATCACTGTCCAATACAATTAGGTCATTATTTTCTCACGAGGTAATTCAGTTGACTAGTAATTTAAAGTGAATATTATTTTTTAATTTAAAGTGGGCAGAATGAAATCACTTGTTAGATGGCTTGTTAAAACTAGTTGATTTCATAGATCTATGACAAATCAGACAGACAGACAGATACAACGCAGAACTTCGTACGTAAGTACATCAGTTCAGGTTGCCATACCACATTATCACAGAGACGCAATTGTCAGTTCAAATCCAGTAGTGGTTAGCGATAGTAGAATTGTTAACAATGATGGAGAAGATTAGGGAGCGAAGATATGATTCGAGAAGCATAATTCAGTGAGATAAATTTGTAAAGAGAAAGATAGAGATGATGAGGAATTCAGAAGGTTAGAATTTGAGAGAACACAAAGAATGGATGCACCTGCGCCATTGCAAACGATTTTCAGATATGTCGTTCAAGGTCTCTAACCATTGGTGACTTCCTTCTCGCGGCCCTCAACCAGGTAATCTACACCTGCTTACATGGCTTAGTCCACTTGTCAGTGACTTCATGGATTTGTGCGATGATTTGGCTTGGCCGCCTCTAGCTTTCTTCCAACCTACTCCTACACCACAAAACATAGCTTTTCGCGGCAGTCGGTGGTTAGGCATATGTAACACATGTCCCAACAACACCTCAGCTGATGAATTTTCAATGCTTCATCTATTGATTTGCCATCCCTACCTAGTACTCGTTTCCTAACGACAGCATTGCTTACTCAGTTGTCCCAGGATACGTGAGCAATGCTTCGGATACACCTGTGATCGAAGACTAGTAACCTACGAATGACAAGTTATACTGCATATTCATTCCTTGGAGTGCTAGTACTGTATTAATGCATTATTTTTTTGTTTTTTTTTCGAAGTCATCATTTTATTTTGCCTTTTCCCTCTTTTTTTCAGCATCCAATCATTCGTATCATCATCCATTTGCAATTGGTCATTCGTCACCGACTAATTTATTTGTTTATTTAGCTGAACACTTGGAGCATTATTTATTGCCTGTTCACAATTTATTATTGATTGTTTCAAATGGTTTCAATATGATCACTGCCAAGGTAAAATCATTAATAATAGTGATAATGATAATAATAATGTACAACTAGTTTGTATGTATTTTGACAAGGTTGTTTTCATTAGAACGAAGTACAATCATTTGTACACAAATTTTTACAAACATTCAAGAGAAATGCACAGAGCAATTTTATAAACTCGCACACTAAATTATCACACTGAACAAAGTTCAAATTTATTACCCTCACTGAAATTGAGGAATTGATACGACAATATTGACGTAATTAGTCCCACTGTATCTTGTTATAACACGGGGTTAACTCTAATATCTAGTTTGTGTAGATCTCAAATTAACTTGTTGATATTAAAGTTTTTGTAGCTTACATGTATTCATACTTAAGTTTGTTTTATTCAATCTTTTCAAAATGTATATTTCGTATGTTTAATTTTCTAAAACTTTTATTTATTGACTTGACTAATAATAATAATAATAACAGACTTATTTCAACATTCCACTTGATTTCAGTTACATTTCTATGTTACATTTTTATTAATTTTCACTGCTACATTCATGTTCATAAGTTTTAACGTCTGTTTTTTTTCTACTGTTAGCTAATTTAACTGACCTGTTATTAAGTGTTTGTGTGTGTGTGTAACCCGTCTGTTTTCAAGAATCTAGTCTAATTTATATTGTTTTTTGTCCTAATGAAATGTATACTAAATAAGTAAACTTGCGTGTTAGCCAATTAAGTTAGGATTTCTTTCTAGTCAGCTGTTTAGTTAGCCATGAGTTATGAAATATTTTTGATTAGTTATTTGTTTGCTTATTACTTTTTACGTTTGCTTTATTCTGTATTCTTTCGTTCTTCATATATTTTTATTATTATTGTATATATATAAATGCATAAAGGATAACTCTACTCCTCTATGTGCGTGTATTATGCATATCTAATTCTTTAAGGATAGGGATTGAACAGCGTTGTCAAATTGTTGACGATCAGGTTGTCATCGAAAATATATGGCTACTAGTCTCTTACTATTCATCTGTATGACATATTCTTAGTTTGTTTAATATTTCTGTCATAATCAAGTTATTCATAATTTTCTTAATTAATTTTATTTTTACAGATTGACATTAACGTGAAATCGACTATTCAATCTAGTCCAAAATTTCTTCTACATTCAATCACTTCAGAACCTATCGGAAATATAAACATCACCAATTTGTCACCAGAACAAGAGAAAAATTCATCCATACAAAATAATAATTATCAACATATAATTATTCATGTTAATATAACTGAATCTGCATTAATTGGAAGTTTAGTTTGTCGATTATATGTGGAAGATTCAAATGTAGATTCCATGAATAAATTGCATTATTCCATAATGTCTGTTGAACATAGTCAAACATGGGATTTGTTTACGCTGAATGAAAATACCGGTAAGTTATAGTTATTATGCTTGTCAATCTTTCATAGATTCATTTTTCATCAATAATTGAATTCTTATTTTTATTTGTCGGTTTGCCCATAAACCGAAATATCCTAAAACATATTCATGTTTATGATTACGATGCTTTTTCAATGATGTCAGAATTACGTGTTGTTTACGCAGGAATGTTTTTATTTCTGACCATTTCATGTACAATCATTTTTGACATATTTTTTTTGCACATTCCGTCGATTTATTTCAATGAGATGAGTGTTATGCTGTAGTTTGATAAGGTGAAAGAAACAAGTAAGCAAGTGAATTGAAAATGATCATTTCTGTGTTTTTTTTTTAAAGATTCAACTTTTATTTTTGATTCATTCAGTTGATTGACCTGATTAATTTTGACTGAAGTCTCTCCTTCTCTTTTGGCCTTATATATATATATATATATATATATATATATATATATATATATATTTATACTGTTGTATTCATGTTCCTATTTCTATGTCTGTCTATTTTCTTAAGAGTGAGATTGATTTGCAGATGAATCATTATTCATTGAAATTGTTAGTGAAATTATTCCTGACATTGTTGTATCAAATTCTGTATAGTTGTAGCAGTAGTAGCAGTATTAGTAGTAGTCATATTAAATAGTAAATATGTTGATTGAAATGAACTATATTTCATGATATATGCAGCATATATAGTCCACTGTTTGATAATCAATTAATTTCTTTTTTTTCTTGCTACTTTTTTTTATTCACTTAATCATCATAATTTCTTTCGTTCTTCTGGTTCCTCTCTCTTTGTTTTTTGTTTTTATTTGATGTGTTTCTGTTTATTTACACATTCACGTTTTATACTATAAGAGGGTGATATTTAATCATTGATGCTTGTCGATCTAGTGTTTATTATATATATGTATGCGTGTGCTTGTATGTGTACATCCCTCCCTATTCAACAAAAAAAAAGAAATAACATTTGAAGCTTTCTATGTTTATAATTCCATGACAGACAACAAACATGAAAGGCTAATAAAGTATTTAGATTTTTGTATTTAGATGATAAATCTCAATGAAGCATTGAGTTGTATTTGTTTTTTCATGGAATTTAAACGATCTACTGGAATTGTAGTTGTTCAGTGCGCTTTAAAGTAGCCATATACACCCTCAGTCGATACTGTCCAGCTCAACGTGGATAATTGTCGATCTTATCTACCTGTTGTAGCGAAGGAGAACACAGGTGAGGGCAACCGAAATGTATTTACCGCAAATTACAGAGTTAATCAGTAAAATAGGAAAACCATATCGTAAACGGTTAACTTGCAAATCTTCAATCCATCATCATTCGATTGTCTGACATTTCACTATTCATGCGTTTCATACAAATTCTATTGTGTTCCCACTCTTCCTTTCTTGATCTTCCCCCATCTTCTGCTGCCAGACATTACGTTTTCACTCATGTCATATACTACTTATAAGTAGCGCGCACCACACTGTTACTACTACTAGTACATTGTCGACCGACATATTTCGAATTCAAGTAATTTCAATATAACTTATCTTTACTACTAAGTAATCAGTAGTAAACAAAAATCATCCTCTTATTCCTTGATTATTTATGTTTTTTATTCTGTGAATATTACCAACCTTAGCATCGATTGGGTTGTTTATACTAAATTCAACAGTTCTGTAACCTGATAATCCGCAGTATATAGTAGTATTCTTTTCTACTACAGTTTAACTGTTTTCTCATAATTCTATCTAGTAAATGTCCATAAAGGTTAAATGATTGTCTCATTTTAATTTCTACACTATTTTACTCATGATTCATCATTATCAGCAATATGCTTTGTAAGTGTGTTTAGACGTTTAGAATTATATTAAATTAAATTAAATTTATTGTTCCCATTTGTTGTTTACTTAAATTAAAAGTATGAGCTTACTCATCATTTTTGAAACTATAGCTCTATATATTTATTTGTATGCGCTAGTTTATTCTTTCTTGATTTCGACTAATTAACCAAAAACAAATTCAGATGAATTATTTTTGAAAAAATAGCTTAATTTGATAATTTTTGGTTTGAGTTAAACACGGTAATCTCTTAAGGGTTGTGTATTAGAACTCACAATTTAAAAAAAAATATATACGATATATTTCACACCCTCTTCAAGAAGATTTGGGATGAGGAACAAGTACCATCAGATTGGAAAGAAGGATACCTGATCAAAATACCGAAGAAAGGCGATCTCAGCAAGTGTGAGAACTACAGAGGCATCACTCTTCTTTCAATACCAGGCAAAGTCTTCAACAGGGTATTGTTAAACAGAATGAGGGACTTCGTAGACGCCCAACTTCGAGATCAACAGGCCGGATTTCGTAAGGATCGATCATGTACTGACCAAATCGCTACATTACGGATCATTGTGGAACAATCGATTGAATGGAACTCACCACTCTACATCAACTTCATCGACTACGAGAAAGCATTCGATAGCGTGGATAGGAAAACACTGTGGAGGCTTCTTCGACACTACGGTGTGCCTGAGAAAATAGTCAACATCATACGGAATTCTTATGATGGATTCAACTGCAAAATCGTGCACGGAGGTCAGCTGACAGACTCTTTTGAGGTGAAGACCGGTGTCAGGCAAGGTTGCTTACTCTCACCCTTTCTCTTTCTCCTGGTCATCGACTGGATTATGAAGACGTCAACATCTGGAGGGAAGCACGGTATTCAGTGGACAGCTAGGACGCAGCTGGAAGATCTGGACTACGCGGATGATCTGGTTCTTCTATCGCACACGCAACAACAAATGCAAGAGAAGACGACCAGTGTAGCAGCAGCCTCTGCAGCAGTAGGTCTCAACATACATAAAGGAAAAAGCAAAATTCTCCGATGCAACACAACATGCACCAACCAAATCACTCTTGATGGAGATGCTTTCGAGGACGTTAACAACTTTACATATCTGTGCAGCATCATCGACAACCAAGGTGGATCAGGTGCAGATGTGAGGGCGCGGATTGGCAAAGCAAGGGCTGCATTTCTACAGTTGAAAAATATCTGGAAATCCAAACTCCAACTTTCAACCAAAACCAAAATCAGGATTTTCAATACAAATGTGAAGACAGTTCTACTGTATGGAGCGGAAACCTGGAGAACTACGAAAGCCATCATCCAGAAGATACAAGTATTTATTAACAGTTGTCTACGCAAAATACTTCGTATTCGTTGGCCAGACACCATCAGCAACAATGAACTGTGGGAGAGAACAAGTCAGATTCCAGTGGATGAGGAAATCAGGAAGAGGCGGTGGAAGTGGATAGGACATACACTACGAAAAGCACCCAACTGCGTCACTAGACAAGCCCTCACATGGAACCATCGAGGCAAAAGGAAAAGAGGAAGGCCAAGGAACACACTACGCCGAGAAATAGAGAAAGATATGAGAGGAATGAACAAACATTGGACAGAACTGGAGAGGGAAGCCCAGGACAGAGTTGGTTGGAGAAAACTGGTGAGCGGCCTATGCTCCATTGGGGGTAACAGGCGTAAGTAAGTAAGTAAGTACAGAAAAAATTCTAGCGAAAACTGATAGAATAAGGGTTTATTAAATCCTCACATGTAATTTAGTGTACCTAGATGTCACAATCAATCAATCAACAACAACGTAGAACTTTGCACGTACGCGCATCAGTTCAAGTTGCCATACCACATTAGCACAAAGATGCAATTGTCAATTCAAATCCTATAGTAGTAGAGGTAGCCAAATTATTAGCAGTAATCGGAGAGATTAGAGTTGGAAGAAGTAGAATCTAGTAAAATGAACTTGAAAAATATAAAGGTGATGAGGAACTCAGAACGTTAAGATTTGAGAGAACGCAAAGAATGAATGCACCTGCCCCATTGCAAACCACGCATTTATTGGCTTATTATTAGATTGAAGTTAATATGTTTTCAATTTTAGCTAGATATGATTGGGAACTTGGTGGAATTCGATCTAATCCAAGTTGTGTTATTAAAGACCATTATCTATGGGAAGCTAGGGAGCGAGTAATTCATTTGATTGATATGCTTTTGAGTACGTTGTCACTTATCTTCTTTTACTTCAATAGATAAAATTATCATCAGTTAGACTACGATAATTTTTTTCAGAAAACTAAGTTTTGTTGATAATTGAAGGCTTTGTTCAGTTACAAGTTTCAATAACATATTATGGTCGGTGGCTAAGTTACTACTGTCGGATGATGGTGTTTTGAATCTATTATATATTTCACTACTTACTTTTTTTTTCAATACAGAACAATTTAAGTGACTTACATTTGGTTGATTGACTCGCTCGATTATTTTTTTTCAAGTATTTGTAATGCTTCTTTTAGTCACGCTACTAGCTTACGTAGTTACAATCAAAGTGTTTTTGTCTTCTTCAAAGTTTTTCTTTCATTTAGTAATACTTTCTCACCACTTCATATTTTCATTCATTCATCATTGTCTACACTCATTTTATTCTGTAATTACTTTTTTATCTGTTAAGATAAAAACACATTTAAGCCAACTTTGTTGAAAACACACTGGTCATCATTAATGAATGATCATCATAATCAATCATAATCAACATAAAGCCTGGCAAAAATCTGTTTTAACATCATTTGTGCTGTACCATGTCAGTATGACAAGAATAACATTAACATGATGAATGCCAAATGAGTTAAACTAGTTATAGCATTGACGATGAGACAGACGAAAATTGACAACCCTATTCAAGAAAAGAAATAAAAAAAGGTGTGAATCCAAGTATGCTAGATTTGAAGATCTACCAGAAGATAAAAAAGAAATGAGTACACCTGCACCACTTGGATAGATTTCAAGTCATATCACTCAATGTCTATCTGTTATCTAGATATGGTAAAACTCCTATATTTTCTATGAGAAAAAAAAATTCAATAGTTCATTTTATTTAATGTAATAAGTGCTTTGTATGTGTGTGTGCTTATGTACGTGTTTATGTGAACACTAACAAAGTCATAAATGATTAAGTATTTTATTGAAGAGAATGTTAATTATAAACAACTATAGTTTTTCGTTAGATTTTTCAAGTTTTAGCATTTTCTTCCTTTTTCAGTTTTTTTTTTTTATTTCATCAGACAACACTATAAATCTGTAGTTTGTATGTTTTGATAAAAAAAAAATCTATGTTCGTGATTAGCTTTTACGCAAAGTAATAATTATGATAATAATAATAATGACATTAATATTTTGGTGTTATTATTCCAGTTCTTGATTTTTTTTTTGTTAACGAGCTTCATGAACAGGCATATCTGTAAATGCTAACGTATACCAACACCACCTTTCATTGCTTTCTTTTTTTTAATATAGTTGTACACAAAAAAGATATACTTGTTAGTTATAATTGTATGTTAAATTTATTTAACATGATTAGTATATAATTTTGACATGAAAAGTCTATTTTTTTTTCCTTCACTTAATCTTAAAACGAACAAAAAAGGGGTATGCATGTTTTATATGTGTTTAAAGTGATTAAAGTCAATAGTGAAGTAGTTATGTTCTGTTATATTGACTACTGATCGATATTGATTGATGATTATAGTTTAGTATTATAATAGTTATTGAATGAATGGTTGTTTTTTCTTCACTTACCCAATGTATTCTCTATCTGTGGGTATGTTCAAGATTTATAATTCCAGGTGGTTCTATGCATCAATATTTTGCCAATATTCTTCTTCAAGTTACTTGAAATATTGTTTAGAATTTGTTAAATTGTTTAAAAACGTTAGCTTGTGTTGGGACTATATAACGTAAATGACAAATTTTCGAATCAATCCATGGCCATAAATGTTGCATAATACTTCGGGTACTACCGTTGGTTAGGCCATCGCTAGATCGAAGGTTTAAGCCTTCATGTATTTCGATGTAGATCGATTGATTAATCCATCATACCACACTTGAGTAATCAGTGATATTTATCGTGATTTCTGAAAAAGTATTCTTTCTTAAGACTTTACATATTCATCATACTTATAGTTAGCTACATTGGTATTACAACATTATTCAAAAATAGATTTTCCATTAAACAGTATTTCATGATGAGTGTTGTATGTTAGATGTCTTAAACAAATAACTTACCACTTATCATCGATAAGTATTCATCTTTTTTTCCCGAATGACTTCTCTATATTTAAGGCTCATTTTATTGCATTTTTTTGAAAATTATTTTAGGTGAACTGTTTGTACACGGACTTTTGGATTATGAAACTATTCAACATCATTATATTTTGGCTGCAGTACGATACTCAGGAGTATCTTTGTACTCATCGTATGCAACTATATATGTACATATATTAGATGCAAATGAATATGCTCCACAGTATCTTGGTTTATATACCCCTTCAAATTTAATCTCTAATCATATAAGTGTATTAGATAGTGATACAACGTCACGTTTAGGAAGTTTCACTTTTTATACATCAGGTGTTAATCCTGTCGGCAGTTCAATTGGTTGTATCACAGCATTTGATCCAGATACCGATGATAATGGGCGTATTGTATACAGTATTGTAAAAGGTGAGCATTTGTCTTCAGTATGTCATATCTCTTCTTTTATTCGTTTCTATATTTTTTTATTTTTTCTCTGAGGGGTTATTTTACCTACTGCGTATTAGGATATTCATTTTTATGATTCTTTAATTCAGGTATACACTAGTTTCTTATTAGCTTACGGCAGATTTTTTTCTCAGATTTGGCTTTTTAAATAGCCATAGTGATATACAAGTCTTGATGATATGTTCATATGAATTGATCATTGTCCCTAGAATAACCGCATTTGTGGTTCTTGTATTTAGGTAATATCAAATGAATCAACGTTCTACTTTTATTTGTCAACCAATGAATGCTGGAAATATTATTTTTATATGTTTACTTCATAAGCTGGGACCTTGACGAAGTGGTCGAGTTTGTCTATCGTGATGACTCAAACGAACTATTTTGTCTAGAACAGTTGTTCCTTAAGGCCCTATCATACCAGGCAGGTCGGTTCGGGAATAGTGAGAGACAAAGAAGCAACTTAAGGTCTGAAGGCGAAGTCGTGCTGCTCTTTGTAGAGGAGTGTGACAGCAACACCTGCGGCAATGCCATCCCACAATAGAAGGAAAGAGCTACAAAAGGCCGACCCTCAAAATCTCACATCTCACCTTGCCCCACGAATCTCTATTTCCAACATTAAGGCTTTTTGATGAGCAGAGTTAATACGTTGAAAACTTACCATAAAAAGACTGTAAGAGACTAGCTTCAAACACTACACTGACCTCTATTTTTCATGTATCTACCAAACTGACCATAGTTATGATGTATTTTACTTGTTTCATAACTATTTGTAGTTGCCCTTATCATGTATTAATGTGATTCATGTGCAAGTTTAGAATTTTCAATAAATTGATGTCTAACTGTATGATTAATTTGTTTTGTTTGTTTTTTTCAAAGGTGATACTTCTGATTTCTTTTCTATTGAACCAAATACTGGATGTATAATATTAGCGAAACCTCTACTACCTAATCGTTCTTACTCAAATACTGGTGAGCTAGTACCGGGACTTAATTCAAAACTATTTGTACGGACACATCATCTCGTTGTATCTGCAAATGACAATGGAACTCCTGTATCAAAATCAAATTATACACTAGTTAAAATACACATTACTCCAGGTCCCGGTGGTATTGATGCACCAATGCCTCGTTTTGCTTCCAATGATATATTTTATTTAACTGTTTATGAAAATGTTCCACCAAATACAGTCTTGGCACCGTTAATGCGTCAATTAACTTCAGATTCCGCTATACCTGGTTTTATTGCATTTCGATTAGTCATGGCTGAACCAATCAATGTATTGTCTGGGTCTGCTACAATTTCAAATAATTCTACAAATTTATTTGGAGTAATGATTGATACTGGTTTGCTAGTGACATTGGTTCAGTTAGATAGAGAAACACATGGTGATTTTCATCGTCTTATTGTAGAAGTTGTTGGTACCGGCGGGATTCGTAGTATGTTCTATGATCGTCTGACAATTCAAGTAAGTTTCTGTTTGTTTTATTGCTTGAATACTTATTTTAAAAAAGAAAGTTACTGTCTTCTCATCAGTTAGTGATCATCATATAATAAACTTGTTAGTACAAATAACATTGTCATATCAATGCCAAAGAAACCATATGCAAACAGTGACTTATTAAGTCCAGTTCGAAATATCAAACCTTAATTATTAGTAATAATAAATAACTAATATTCAATGAAAAGGTTCCTAACAGTCCAAAGTCGATAACTTAATAGATAATGCGTTAATGCTTAATTGCCAGTTAGGTTTATGTATATCAGTGAGAAATTCATCTCTGAGCTACAAGTAAATTCACTTAATAAGAACTAAACAAAAAGAAATTTTCTAAGCTAAATGGTTTAACTAGGAAAGTTTTCATCGTCATTCTTGATAAATAAGTAGTAATATCAGTGTAGAACGTAATGCACAGTTTGTTGAATCCCAGTTGGGACTGATAGATGAATGGAGAATTTTCCCTTAGTTAAACCACATATGTTTTGTTGCTTTTCTTAAAATATGTAAGCGTGATAGTACTTGAATCGATTGCTTATTCTTGTAGCGGCAGCAGTACTACTACTACTACTACTACTAAGATAGTATATTACTGTGCTTTCATATAATATTTCTAATTATCAAAGGAATAGAAATATCTATCAATCATTAATCGGAGAGTAAATAAATAAACATTGAATTGTGAACAAATTCATTTTTTGCACTGTAATACTCCTAATAATAGCGATATTTATTAGTCATCATCGTATAAAATGTAATTTTTATGTTGAAGTTTTCTAACTTCATCAGTTCAATTCATTGTTTACTACTTGTCTGTTTTGTTTTCAATTTCTATTTACTTCATCAATAAGTTCTACTGATTTATTGTCAATTTGCTGGTCATTTCATTTCAGTTTAATTTTTTCTTTTGGTCATTTTCTGGAAAAATTTTATTTTTACATTCTATTTACTGAGCTAATAATGTTGTTCATGGGAGAAATTCATATTACTAAAGCATTCTGATTTTTTGCTGCTGTGTGATATGTTGACGTTGATTTCAACAATTCACTGACATATATATATATATATATATATATATATATATATATCAGAATGACTGATTTTTTTTAACTGTCTTACTTGTCACTGATGAAGTGATTGAAAAAAATTGTACATAACAAACTAACCAACTAACTAACTAACTTGTTTGAGAACACACATGTGTATTTCATAGGGCATATGACAGATATTTTTTCTGTTTAACATTGATATGTTGTTATTTCTCCCATAGTAAATGTTTGCGTTAGTCATAACATCCATGTAAAATGCGTAGGTGAAAAAGTATTCAGTAAATCAGTATTGATGTCAGTGTTTTTGTTGTTTACTTCGGAAAATTTATCTAAATGGAAGTTTCTGCTTAATAATATATATGTATTTGTACGTTCGTGTTTCGGTTGATCAGTATGCTTATAATGAATTGTCCAGTTAATATCAGATTTATTTATAGGATAAGCATATATATATCCTGTAGGCTGACAAAATCTAGTGATAGGCATAAAACGTACTCTATATGTTTTGTGATGTAGGAGTACGTTGGAAGAAAGCTAGGGGTGACCAAATCAAGACATGGCACAAATCACTGACAAGTGGGCTGAGTCGTGTTGGTAGATGCAGGCTACCTAGTTGAGGTCCGCGAGACGATACTCACCAATGGTTAGAGACGTTGAACGACATGTCTGAAAATCGTTTGCAATGGCGCAAGTGTATCCATTCTTTCAGTTCTCTCAAATTGTAATCTTCTGAATTCCTTATCATCTCTATCTTTCTCTTTCTAACTTTATGTCACTGAATTATACTTCTCAAAATATATCTTCGCTCCCTAATCTTCTCCATCACTACTAATAGTTCTATCTCTACCACTATTGGATTTGAACTGACAGTTGCGTCTCTGTGCTAATGCGATATGGCAACCTGAACTGTTGTACGTACGTACGAAGTTGTACTTTGTACCTAACTGACTGACTCTAGATATTGATCGTTTGCTCTTGATACCGAAGTTCCTGTGCTCGATTCCGGCGTGTAGAGAGTAATTGATGCGCGATCCTGAGGAGCCTCATACTAGGATGAAGCAGAGCGTTCCAGTGCTTTCATGTGTTCAAAGCTTTTCTGACTTAGTTTGATTCATGAGTTGAATGAAATGCTCGTTAGAATGTGTATAAAAGTTTACTTGAATTTTATCATAAATATAAGATCTATTTATAAAATGTATAATTTGAATTTCTCATCAGTCATATATTTTCATTTTCTTTTCTGTATATGTTACATTCTGTTCCCTGGCTGCTTTTTTCCCTGATGCCGCGTGATTTCTTCTTTTTTTTCCGAATCTTTTTATAAATAATAAGGTTTCCCTTTTCGATAGAAAAGGGAATTTTTTTTTAGAGTTTTTCAACTGTTCTTTTATTATTATGCGTTTGCTTTTTTAGTCTATCGAACTTTTTATTTGTTAATTATGATTTATTGTTCTCTTTCTTTTTTTTTCTCCTTCTACCTTTCAATTAATTTTCATACTTTTTGTAATGATTATTATTATTAGTGAATTAAATAATTGCTAATTTCCTCTTGATTTCTATGAAATCAAGTGATAGAAGTAATAAAATAAAATTAGACTATCATCCACATAAACGAAAAAAAAACAATAATCATCATTCGTTTATTGTTTATGAGCAAAAGACATCAATAATTTGAAAATGGAAAGTTGAATTGAAAAATAATCGTCGAGTTCAATGAAATAGACAAGTCTGGATTATCTTTTGTGTCTTTTCTTTCTTTAATTCTGTCAATAGTGACTACTTGAAACCATTTTTTTCTTTATTATCTTCTACATTACTCTATTGCAAAGGCTTTAAATTTTCATTTTATAAAGAAATGATCAGAATTTAATCAAGACTATTATCAACTAGATTAGTGTTGGTCTTAACGACCTGGGAGTGTGGCCACTGAGCCCGAGGGACAACTGCTTGAGGCCGGTCACCCACGGCCTTTTTATGAGAAGTATATAAATTGTTACATACGCTCTTGTTTAAAACGCCGGAGACGGAAATCCGTGAGGTAGGGTGAAATGTGACATTTTTAGGGTCGACCTTTTCTAACCCTTCCTTCCTTGTGAGAAGGCAGCATCTCTGCCGATGCTGGTTGTCCAAGTGGAACACCTTACTGCTGTCACACCTCTCTACAGATACCAGTACGACTTCGCTCTCAGACCTTGAGTAGCTGTTTATAGTCTCATCGTTCTCTAATCGACTTGCCTGACATGGTAGATCCTACAGGAACATATGTTCAGGCCAATACAGCTCGGTTGGGTCATCACGATAGGTAAGCCCGACCACCCGGACAAGTTAACATCTACGGTCGGTATAGCTCAAATGTTTTTTCTAATAAATGATACAAATATTGTATCTACTTGACAAATTAATGCGTATTTGAACTCAACAGGTCAGTAGATGATAACATGTTGAGCGTTTCGCGTTAGTTATTGAGTTTGGGCTTCACTGTGAATATTAATATTAAAAATGTCATTTTCAAACAAGACAAAACGTTCTTGCTGGTTTCCACTGTTAAATCACTATTTATTTGTTCAAGAAAATAATTATCTCTATCGAACTAACTGGGCTGTTGAATTGCTACTTATAAAGGTAAAACAGTAGTAGTGTATGTTATTGTTTCTTTCTATTCATTATCCTTTTTTTCCAATTCTTTCGGCATTAACTTATTGAATTATTGTTTTTGTTGTTATTATTATTATAAATTATATTTTTATTAGACAAGCGAGAGTAAAATTAATGAATGTAAGTTATGCTTTCAGTATTTAGTTACAAAATAGTAATAATAATAACAGTTATTATTATTATTATTGTTATTGGAAGAAGAAAAGTGTTTTTAAATAGCAAGCTGTTAGTTATCATAAACTGTTGGGGTTTGTTTTTCAATTTTGATCAGCCTTTCCAGTGAACGGAATATCTTGAGATAGCTTGTTAGCACGTCGTATTGTATATAGAATGAAGCATATTTCATCCGGTATGCTTTTCTCCACTATTCCAAATCTTCCTTATTTACAATATGCTAATGTGTAAGTTAACTCGATAATCTTATTCTATCATGCTTCGCTGTCTGATTGTGTAATTTCTATAGTTGGACATCTCACCTTCTTAATAGATAGTAATTATCCAAGTAACAACATTACTTGTGACTTTATGTGTTACCTATGTACTATTATTGCATTATATTTATATTCTAAAGTTTGACTGACTGAACTACATTATCGTTTTACTTTTTGTTTTTCAGACTTTATCTATATTCTTTTTCTTTCCACCATAAAAACTGCGCCAAATACTTATTTCAATAACCTTTAATAGGTTAACTCTCAAATATTCATAACTTATACTAATAATAAATTCACATAAGTTTTCCCATGAAATTAATCAGTTAACTAAATACAAATACAAATTAAATAGCTAAATCATTAATAACTTTCAGTTAAGCAATCAAAATCAAAGTAGGCGTATTTCAGTTGTACGAATATATATATGGAATCTGTTATTGGATAATACTAACAATAATAATAGTAATAATAATATGAATGGTAGACACTGATGTATGTTTTTATTTCATTATATCATTCATTCAGTATTCGGTCACTATCATTTATTATAAAATCTGTTTTTTTTCGATTGTATTGTTGTTGTGTTGGTTTTGTTTTTTCATTTTCATTGATATTGCCGACATTTGATGTCTTGTAACAAATAAACACCATCGCTGAATGAATGAATGAATGAATGAATGAGTAACTAGACTGTTTAACTACAAAGCAGTTGTGTTTTTGTGTGTGTGTGTTTTTGCATGTGCGTGTAGATGAATTAGAATTTGCAACAAGTGTATTCGTTACGCTAAGCATCGACATAGTTAATTAGTTGTGAAGTGTCTGCGAACTATAGCAAATTAATGATGTATGATGTAGGAAAGGACCTGATAGTTTCAACATTATTAAAAAATCAAGAATTATGTTCAGTTCTTTGATTAGATACTTAGGACTGATTGAATAACATGCAGTAAACTCCCAATAAAAATGGACTGATTTATATTGCAATCAATACTTATCTTATTTTTCAGTTCACTTTCAAAATTTCTTATCTTGCTTCATTCAATATCACATTCACTGACTCAATCTAGTTGATGATGAACTTGTAACCATTTGAGAATTTGAATTGATTTCAAATTTGTTACTTTAGAACTCAGTGAACTGTGAATATGTTGGGAAAAAAACATTTTTGTCTATATTAGTAATATTGTGAAAATAAGACTTTATTTGATTATTGGTATGAAATTGGAACGTCTCAAATCACCTAGTGAATCATTGTGTACAGCTTATACATCAATAGTTTAGATTTTCCAATGTAAAAATTATTAATTTTTCTTGTGTAACCGACTAGAAATACTACACACTGGTTATGTCAAACTGGTTTGTTGTAATATTATCTTTGGTTTCTTACTTGTTGGCGTTGGTTAACCACTAGTATATAATGTGTGTGTGTATGTTTGTATGTTGATATTGACTTTGAGATATGAGTAATCTGACTACATCTATTCATCCTTATATGATTTTTTTTAAAAAAAAGAGTTTCAATTCTTTTATACTGAAAAGTCTCACAAAGTAGTGTTAAAATTTTTAAAATGCTCAAGTCGCCTTATAAATCATTGAAATTCAAGTGTCTTATTCATTAGTCTCCTAAATAAATGATTAAAACAATTGGATTGTCGATATGATTGGGTCATTCAATCGGGCGTCTAGATCCGTTTTCATTTTATTTGACTTTAAGTAGGTGAGTAGTCCTTATACACATTGTAGGACACTTATTTTTGCAACTGAAACTCTACTCATCATTCAAAAATGCTGTTTTTAAAACATTTTTGAATTAGAAATAATCGTATTACTTTGACTGTTAAAACATCCCGTTAATCAATAATTGAAAAAGTGGTATTTCCTGAAATTACCGGTTTATTTGTGTTGTCTTGTGTTTTGTGTGTGTGTGTGTGTGTGAGAGAGTGTTCATCTGTGTATGAATGCATGATTTCAACAATTATTCATTTTTTTTTCAAAAAATAGTTTTCCTTTGCAGCTGTTTTCTTTTGCATTCCAGATTTTATTTTTTCTTCTTCGTCTTCTTTGATTTTCAATGTATCTAAGCATAAAATAACCAGATGTACATACTTATGTAGAATGATAGTAATAAGTGTGTTGTTTCTTTTCGGATTCTTTCATCATTGATCTTATATTTTTCTCTATTTCCATTTGTTCAGACAAACAATTAAAATTACCTTAAAAAACGCAACACCGTCTATACGAATAACGATTTTTCCTTTGTGGGCAAAAGGTTATTTCTCCTAGTTTTTTTTTTAAACCAAATAAATTCGTTTAACCACCTTGTGACAACCAGATTGGCGACTTATTCTTTTTTTCATCTTAGTCAACATTAATCCGTTACTCAGCTAAAATGTGCACGTCCTTTTTTTACTCCGATGAATAGTTTTAGTTTTTGCTTCGTCATAGAATTCTTATCCTTGATAATATACAATATGTGATCATTATGTTAGATGAATGAAATTTCTATTGAAATTTTGTTGGAGGTTCAACGATTTTCGTGTATATTATTACTGCTAGGACAACTGTTGTCTGACGCACACACACACACACATGTACACTTAAGACGTGTGTGTATTTCACTTTTCTGGAAAATTTTTTTAGTGCTTTCTACTAATTCACCAGATTAAATACATTTCATCTTTACGTACAATGCTTGGATTGATATATATATATATATATATATATATATATATATATATATATATATATAATATGTCTGAACTAGATAGGACATTTAAATATAAGTTTTGTGTTACTCAGTGGCTTGTTCATCGACAATTTTCACGTTAGTATTAATCATTCCAGAATTCATTTCTATTACTATTGTTGTAATGACTAAGCATTTGGTGTTTGTATTTTGAAGGTCGTTTGTTTTGCCAATAAATGTTCAACCGGATGTTTGTGTAACACAAATAATGTTATTCTTTATCTCCCCGTAACTTACACCTTATCTGGTAAATACTTTCAACTAAGCCGTTCTATTCTCACGTCCAACAAATATAGTTATCTTGTTTATTTTTTGTTTTAAACTTTTCTCTATGTTTTAGTGTGTCTTTTGTATGTTACTCGAATGATATTTACAATTGCTTGATAGTTACAATCGTTTCAAGTTATCCAATATTAATACTTTTCTCAGTAGTTATTACTCATCTATATATTATTTTTCATAACAAAATAGTAAACCCTTTTGCTATTTTTTTATACATTTCTCATTAACTCATATCTTGAAAAAATTCTTTGCTCATACGTAATGAATCATTTAGTAGGATATTTTTAGTCAGTCAGCCAATCATCAGCATTCAACCTGACACATTAGTTTAGCACAATGAAATCAAAGTGACAACGTGAATAGCCGAAACGATCGAGATATTATAGTACCACTGTTATTATGAAAGAAAAACAGGATGTTGGGAATATGATTGGAATGGATAGAGTTAAAAAAAGTATGTAAGAAACAATACTGGGTTTCAAGATGGATAAACTGAGCCATAGTGAGTTTTTGGGAGCCATATCCTAAAAAGTTTTCAGCTACTGATAGATATTACTGCGCGTATCATAACGAGGGAATATTCATTCAGCACTATGGCTCTAATCAATAGTTAGTGATTTCATGAACTGATGTTATATCTTGGTTTGGTCGGCCACTCCTGGCTTTTATTCAATCTACTTACACACTAGCAAACATTACCCATACAAGTTAATGGTGGTTAGATATTATGTATTGTAAAGTTTTTTTATTTTGCTTATCCTCTGGTTCCATTAGTATTCTACATTAATATACTCGTCTATTTTACGTCTACTTTGTGTTTAATTTTTTTCCACAGAAAGGCAAATTATCTTAATGACTAATTCGTTAAATATAACAGACTACAATACAATAAAGTCATTCCATTTTTCCTGTTGAAATATCAATTTCAACAAAGTTACCTTTTACCATAAATAACAACAAATGTTCACTTATGAAAAGATTTTAGTTTTTTTTGTTGAAATGGCAATTTAATTTCAACGGTATAAAGTTGAACATAATTCTCATTGATAATTACTATTTATAGTTTTGGCTGAAATACAATAGAAAAATACTTTATTCTGTTATTGTTGTTCTGGATAGTGTTGCTTTTGTCGATAGTATATGTAATATTTGTTACTGTATTGTTTTGATCACTTTTACAACCTTTTTCTTTAATGATGATATCGTTCATCAATGTATCATTTCTCAATTTTTCAAATCAATTTTTTTCTGAATGCTTATATTTTGTGAAGTTTATTGTTTTCGAATCGAACACATTTTAACAGATTACATATCTGTTTTGTAAATCTCTGTAAAGTGTAATTTACTGAAAAAAAACTTTTTATGTTTATAAATATATATATTTTTTTACTTTTATCCTATCAGATACGAATCCTCGATGAAAATGATAATCCACCAAAAGTTATTGGGCCTAGTCGTTGGACTGGTTGGATTGCTGAGAATTCACCATCTGGTACTATGATTATTGGTCATTGTGTAGAAGATCATTTGGTTGCTTGTGACCGCACCCATATAAGTCCGTTAACTTTGAAAGTTATTGATTATGATGTAGGTGTTAATGCACAGTTGGTGTATAATTTTGTGGGATCACAAATAAAAGATGGTCATCGTCAACCTTTCTTCGTGGATAATTCAACTGGAGTGCTACGTCTTGCTGATTATGCATCATTAGATCGTGAAACAACAGGAAGTTATGTTCTTATGATTGAAATATCGGATGCTGGAACGCCTAGTCTTACAGCTGATCGATTAATTAGAATTACTGTTGAAATTACAGATGTAAATGATAGTCCACCAATTTTTACTGATTCATTTTACTTAAGATCTACACTATTTTTACCAACTTATCCAACAGAATTAGTTTTGCAGTTAACAGCAGAAGATCCAGATCTGAATGATTCTGTAAGTTTTAGTTTTCAATGTATGATATGTTTAAATGTGTTGGTTGATTTTTAATTTGTATCACTCTTCACCTGATATACATATGTGTATAAATATACACCGAATTGTTTTAAATAGACCGCACTGTAAGAGTACCAACACATGAGATCAAGTATTGGTATAAAAATGGCCTTACATATCTAACGTTTCGCCACTCTATGGTTTGGTCTCAAAATCGTTTTCAGTGGCACAGGTGCATTCACTCTTTGTATTCTCTCAATCTTGTCCATTAGCAGTAATTCTTCCACTATCTCTACTACCACCATGGGATTTGAATTGACAATTGCGTCTCTGTTCTAATGTGGTATGGCAACCTGAACTGATGTACGTACTTACGTACGAAGTTCTGTGTTGTAACTGATTGACTGACTGAAGTAAAGTTCGATAATTTATGTTCATATTCATCTAGTTAATGCTTGACATAGGTTGGTAACCATTTAATATGTTTATTTGAAATGATTCACAACCGTGTATATACGTCATTCTATGTTTTATACTTGAATATTTTGTGAGCGGATTTCAGACATTGTGATCATGCATCGAAGTCAATGAGCGCATCCATAATCTGTGCCCCTCTCTTATCGACTCTTGATAAATAACCGTCTTTTGGGTTTTATACAGACCATTTTTTATTATGGATTAAAAAAGTTGATTACTTTTCATCAAGATATTACTTTAGAAGCTACTTAAACAGTTTTCCTGTTAGTATCAAATCACTTCATTAATTTATCAAAATTCAAAAACTTGATGAGATAAATAATTCATACTCAATAAACTGTTCACTCACTAACTAAAATTATAATAATCTTTTTTGTTCAGTAGTATTTTCTTTTTTAAATGAAAAAAATAAAAAATAAACTAACGAATGATTTATATTTTGTTTCACTTCCGGACAGGTGATTTATGAATTTTGCGAAATAAGGAAAAAAATTTATGAAATTAATTTTACAGATTCTACAAATCTAACTACCATTTTATTTCACCATTTTATTTTTAGATATTTTATGATCAAAGTTTGCAATGCTAATTCATAATCTACAAGTTTAATGTTTGTTTTATTTGTCCTTGTTCATTTATTTTTTTTTTTTAACATAATCATTAGGTTCATTATTATCTTGTCGGTGGAGATGGTGCTGAACATTTTACTCTTGATGAAAATGATGGTATTCTACGTGTAGCATCGAATTCTACTCTGTCATTAACTAACATCTCCTACTCACCATTTTCATTAAATGATCAAGTCTATTTTCTATATGTTGAAGCTTGGGATAATCATCAGCCAATAGCTCATGTTAGTCGTTCAAATGTTACCATTTTTGTGCGCTGTTCATCTTCCGTTCGTGAATTTCAAACATTAATCATTGATCCTGTGGATGGTTTGTATGTGGAGATTGAAGAACACTTTAATGGTCCAGATCTATTGAAACTAGGTCAATTGTCTGTTCGTAATTCTCCTATTGGTACAATTTATAAGTGAGTTGTTTGTAGTTTGATTGTTTGCGTAATAATAAAGTTTTGTATTGCCTGATATGTGTTCTGCTTCTATTTATATGATTCAATAGCAGTTTAACTTGTAGTATTATTTATTATCTTTATATTCGTTTGTAACTTCTAATTGATTTCCAAATTTACCAAAGTTAATTCGTTTTGAAATATTTGTGATTGGATGAATGATGGTATCCACAATTAGATGTTATTGTGTTTTTTTTTGTTTATCGTTGTTTTTTGTTTATGAAAAAGTTATTGATATGATGACGACTGACTGGCTTAAGCACTGATTGGTGATTGATTTTATCTTATTACTTCTGTCATTAGTTAACAACATTTTTGTTTCATTATTTTCCCAAATAACTCCGTGTTATTGGCTGGATTTCTGTCTCAATTTCATACCGTAGCATAATTTTCATGGATGATAATTTTTTCTTAATTAAATGAGTTTTAAGTCCTAACACTATTATAGATTGGCAATTAGGTTAGTCTACGTAGGTCTTATCTAATTGTAACACCTGACATCTGACAATATTTGCTCATGGTTTTATGTTGCACTGGTATATTATGTGGCCAGACTGGCTATTTCACAGGAAAGTTTGCATAAATTATTTGATAGCTCCTTTTTCTAAGTAATAAATTGACTCATTTGCATACTCTCGGTTTCAAGGCACATAACGTTCAATCCTAGTTATATATTCCATCCAAAGTAGGGCGGAGTGGAATTCAAGACTGCTGGTGGCTAATATTTGGTCATCACTATTATTTTGATCTAATCTGAATAAATTACATCATTTTATTGATCATTTCGATCTGCATAAAAAAAGATAGTGGATTCTATATTTCCGTTGTAATCTACCGCCACGATATTTTTTTCGTCAGAATAACTTATTCTATTACATTTTGAGTAGTAAACATTTGTCTTGATCAAACAAATTGTCTGTTTTATTCAACCGAAATACATGAATAGTTATTTATTCTAGGTGAATGTTTTTAGTCATGACAACTTTTTCTACATCAAATAACATTTGAATAGTCTGTCAATTTTTTAAATCATTGTCAAACTTTACTACTGAACAGACTTCCATTTCATTCTATTCAAATCATTTCTCGTGTATCTTGGGACAACCGTATAAGAAATGCTGTCGTTAGGAAACGAGTACTAGGTAGGGAAGGCAGATCAATTGATGAAGTAATGAAACTTCATCAGTTGAGGTGGTTGGGACATGCGTTACGTACGCCTAACCACCGACTGCCACGACGAGCTATGTGTTGTGGTTTAGGAGTAGGTTGGAAGAAATCTAGGGGCGGCCAAGCCAAATCATCGCACAAATCCATGAATTCACTGACAAGTGAACTAAGCCATGTAAGCAGGTGTAGACTACCTGATTGGTGTCCGCGAGATGTTAGTAGTCGATGGTTAGAGACTCTGAACGACATGGCTCAGAATCGTTTGCAATGGCTCAGGTGCATCCACTCTTTGTGTTCTCTCAAACTTCTAACCTTCTGAATTCCTCATCATCTCTATCTTTCTCCTTCTAAACTTATCTCACTGAATTATACTCCTTGAATCATATCTTTGCTCCCTAATCTTCTCCATTACTGCTAATGCTTCTACTATCGCTATCACTCTTGGATTTGAACCGACAGTTACGTCTCTATGCTGATGTGGTATGGCAACCTGAAGTGATGTAGTTACGTACGAAGTTCTGCGTTCTATCTGTCTGTCATTCTATTCGATTAATACTTAGTCTTTTAATTGTCTTAATGTGAACCTATACGTGTAAGTCAACGAATCGACTAAATTTCCATAACCTAAACTACTTTTAAATGATAGTTAAAAAACAATTGTTGTTATTAACCATGTCTTTATGCTTTTATTAGAGTCTGATAAACGTTGCAGAACATTTCCAATTGGTAAATTTTAAAAAAATTCTTTGTTATAAAATTAACTGCAATTACTAGACGCTTAAAACTTTCCAGACAATATAGTTTATCGTGTTGAATATAATAAGCGAAATAATTAAACTTCTCGTATTTGTTTGTATTTTACATACAGTTACATAAACAGTCGACCTTAATTTCTCTTAATTGTGACCTTTACTGTCTATATTTGTGTTTAGAGATAGTAGATAGAGTAGGCTTATGTAAAATATGACTGGCTTATCTTTTATACTGTAAACCAATGAGATTGTATACGTTAAATATGGAAAATAAAGTATATGTATAGGTAGCTGTAATATTGATGTTCGGGATTGGAATTGATCATCAGTCACTTTAGCATGTGTGCATCGTGTGTGGATTGTCTCGATATTGCGTTTATATTACAAACATTATTAGCAGAAGTGAATAATAGCTAGCAGTAGATTACAAAGACCAATAAGAATAAATTAATCTTAACTCTATTGAACAAGTGAATGGCTGTCTGGACTCTAGCTGGTTGGATGACTCGATGGCGTTTGAAGCAAAAGGTACTGAGTCCGAGACCCAGAGTCATTATCAGCTTTGAGATGCAGGTAGATCCAGCGGACGAGTACCAAATAGGATAAAACACATGTCCTGAATTCCATTCCACTACACCTCTGCTAATAATCCTTGTAATATCGAGGCAATCCACACAAGATGTACCATATGCCAAAGAGACTAATCAATTTGCAGTCCTAAACATTAATAGGAAGATTCAAACAATCAATGTAAATGAATTAGTTTCACTATTGTTTTAATCACTGAATGTCGTAGTGGCTAGAACTGGTCATTCCATTCTTTATAAAGTTGCATTATATAGTGCAAGAAAATCCTTTATCACCTTTAATAGTTAGATAGTCAATCATTTTCTATGTCGTTGTAATTTTTTGTATGATGTTTATTCTCACAAGAATACAATTAATGGTGTTTGTCTAGCGAAGAAATGTTTACATTAATATTGTATGCAAAACAGTTAATGCTATTTATTCTCTTAAATGAACGAACAATTTTTGTGATACCCAATTTTTATCAAGTTTTTGTTTGACTTTATATTACTTAGAAGACAGACGTGATAAAGCATTAATTTATCTAATTTATATAATAAATACCATCGATTCACGTAACAAATAATTTTTCCGACTTGATTTATGTTATGCGAGTTTTTTTTTTGTATTTTTGCTTCAAATGTGTTTATCAGGCTATAAACAGTGTTTATTAAGTGTAAACTTCAAATATGCAATCATTTAATTGTGTTAACTTTATGTGATATTCGAATATCCTAATCGTTGTAGCTATCAAAATGCATTAGATACAAAATATTTTCTGGTTTGCACTTTTAATAAAATGACTCCGTTTTTAATTTTCAGCAAAATTATGTCGTGCTAGGAAAACTGAAGAAAGTTATGCTAATCTGTACCTGGTAGAAGCTTATTAACACAAAGCTTTTCAGAATCTGTTTAGCATAGTTTTCTTATTAGATTCATATTACGAGTACAGTGATAAAATCTTGCAAATAATGAGTTGGTCATCATTCTGCTATAAAATATTTGTAGTTTGTCTTATCATTCTGTTATTTAATACCACTTAGAAATCAGTTTCAAATTCATCACAATCAATTCTATTCAACTATCCTAATTAAATTGATCTCTGAGAATTCGAACCTACAACTACTTAACAACATGTCCTGAGTTCGAATCCTGCAAGGTGCATGAGTCGTGGATGCGCACTGCCACTGATGAGTCCTATACCAGGACGAAACAGCAGTCCAGTGCATCCAGGTTTCTAATGGTGGTCTAACATTGATCGATTCATTATATCAAATGTGTGTAACTAAACAATCTTCTTAACACCATAATGCAATATGTCACATAAATTATAGATCATTATTATTATTATTATTATTATTATTATTATTATTATTATTATTGTTATTACAGTACGTAATGATGTGAATGAACATTCAGTCTATATCTCAGTATTGTCTATTGACTATAATCAATATCCTTAAATGTTATTCATTCATTTTCATCATTTCATTTGTTTATATATAGATATATATTTTTCTAGTTTAGTATTTCAGACAAATCATTATTGTCATTAATTAACTTACCTATTTTTTTTTGTTTTAAATATTTACGTTACGCATAGTATTTAATTTTAGACTACGACATCAAATAATGAATTAAAAATGTATATGAGCTTTGATTAATAATAAGATTTGATCATTTATTTTAATTGATTGTGATGAAAATTGAAATCGTCATTTTGAAATAGGCTACCTTTCACGTTATCTATATTTTGTCTAGCCATAAAAACGTATCGTTAGTGTTTTTTTCTTTCAATAACTTCATTCGATCAATGTGCGTTACCCAGGTAGCAGTTAGTAATTTAGCCAGTGAAGTATTTTACTGTCTATGCTTTTAGTTATAAAGCGTTTGTTACTATTTTTTGTTATGGTTACAGTTTTTGCCACATGATATTTCTAACTAGATGTTAAGTACTCTGAGTTATTATCGCATGAAGGGATATTTAGTGGTTGACTTTCACTATTTGTATATTTATTTCATCTGTCACGCCACTGTCAACACACACTCTACTACTCAGACCCATAAACATTTGAACTAGATCTAACATATCTACCAAAAGTTAGTACAAGCGTAAGCTCTTCCTGTCAGTACAAAGTATGTATCGTACTTACAGACATTGTTTGCCAAATAACCTAATTTCGATTAGGGTACTTTGTATTTTATCTCATATTAAGACAATGTTATCCGCATACTGAAGATTGAAGATTCATGCCCCATGAAGTAGATCCACAGTACCACCACTACTACGTTCCATCAGAGCTGTTTCAAAAAGGTCATCGTCAATATCGAAGTTGAAAAGGAATTGTGAGATTGAGCAATCCTATTCAGCCTCACAGCTAAAATAGAACAATGTATGTATATAGGTGAGTGTATACTCTCACTGTGCCTGATGTGTTAATATACATATGTTAATAAACTTCTCAGGACACCCTTCTTCAATAGATAATGCTAGATGATAATCCTTGTCAGTCAGTCAAAGTTAGCTGTGATATCAAGAAACAGAACGGTTGTTGGTCTGCGATAGTTGCTGATCACAGCACATACTGGAATAAGTACTATATTCAAGAACAGGTTCTTTCAGTTTCATTGTCACTTTATCAATCCAGTGTGTTGGAACTCAATAGTATCCCTTTTCTATCTACACCTTTCGTCATATGATCGGTTTAAAAATAATTCACTGAGATAATATTCAAACTCTATACTCTTCCAACTATAATGGTTCGACATATGGTAATATCAAGTGAACCGACTATAGCACTTGAAATAAGTATTCAGTTGATAAAATTCTCTAATAGGTGATTGTCTTGAAATCAAAAAAAAATTTTCTAAATTAATTGTCGATCAAATATATCAAAATCATTCATAGTGGTATACTAGTCAATACTAATAACCAGTAAAAATGTTTTCTGATACAACCGCCTTTTATTTAATTTTATGTTGCATACATTCAATTTTGTTCTTTATGTCTATGCCCCTTTTAAATTGATTATGTTTACTCACATTAGTGATTAAATTCATGTGAGGAAATTCTTTCAGTTATCTGAGTATACTGAGGGCCATATGTCAGACAACTAGACATATTTTCAGGCAGAGTTTTGGAGGTTTTGTCTTTTTACACATTTGAAATCATTAGTCAATCATTGTTAGATCACCATTAGAGACCTGGAAGCACTGGACGGCCGTTTCGTTCTGATATAGAACTCATCAGTGGCAGTGTGCACCCACGACTCCTGCGCCTCATAGGATTCAAACCCGGGACCTTCGGTATTGTGTACGAACGCCTAACCATCGAACCACTCGGTTGACATCCAACGGTGTTAATGTCTTACTCTGACTGATTTACGGACTTTGCGCAACCTCACCCTTTGGTAGTTACTGCCTACACCCTACAGGGTTGAACTCCATTGGTCACGTTTTCCCAACTAGAACTCCGAGAATTTCCTCATGAAGCTAGTCACTAGTGAACACTTTTACGATATTTTCAGGCAGAGTTTTGGAGGTTTTGTGTTTTTACGCAGGAGTCGTGGATGCGCACTGCCACTGATGAGTCCCATACCAGGACGAAACGGCCGTCCAGTGCTTCCAGGTTTCTAATGGTGGTCTAACAATGATTGATTGATGATTTCAGATGCGTAACTAGACATATTACATTGAAAAATGAAAATTCAATCATTATTATTATCATTATATTAAGCGATAATAACAATCTAAAAGGTAATCGTTTTTATATTTTGTATCAATTTTGTGCCAAAAAAACATACTATAGTTATCATACTACTACAGCATGTAACCATTCTTAGGATTATTCATTTTTATTCTACTTCACACAACTCATGTATTTTCAACGAAAAAAAATTTGAATTTGTTTACTTATTTCTTTATTTGAGTTCGTCTTATTCACGCGCACACACACGCACACACAAATAAAAATGTTTAGGCTAGATTACTTCCAAATAAGTAGAATGGTTATATTTTAGTTATGATTGTTAATATTTAATAATCATACATATATAATGTTTCCGGTTCCAAATGATTTTCCATGCCTAAGTTGTATCATTTTATACATTTTTGTTTATTTTGTATAATTTTTTTTTGAGAAATTACGGATATGTATGTGCATTTTTCAGGGTGAAATACACTTACGAATTTGTTATTAACACCACTGTGTAATATTTTTTCACAATCAATTATGACAATTTTCTCTTTTTGAAATTTAATATTATGATTTGTTTACAGTCATTTGTTTTGTGAAATTTTTGATTTTAATAAATTAACCTAGTTTGTTGTCAAAGTGTGTTCCATTTCAAATTCGTTTTCTTATCAACATTTGACATTGTTTCAAAGAAAACTTGACTTAATTGAAAACCGATTGATAATTCAATCCAGTCAGACTTACTGATCTCAGTGTTATACTCACAAAGAAATTCTAGTGTTTTGATTTTACCTGGTGTGGATTACAAACTGAGATGAATCAGCTATCAATAACATTTAGTGTACTCGAATCGTTATCATTATTGGCACAGGGTGATAAGATTATACGAGAAGGATTAGTCGTGCAGACAAGAGAATTACTAAGAGGTGGAGGAAGAAATCGTTTGTGAACAAGTTTATCTTCTGGGCTGTTAAGGGTATGAGGGCGGATGTGACTTTCCGATTCCCTACAATGTATGAGGGTGTTTCTTGAGGAACATGAAGAGAAAGAAGATTAGCGTTGGCCTGAGTAACCTGGGGGCATAACAGCAGACTCCAAGACATAACTGCTTGAGGCCGATCACGCACGGTCTTTTTATGAGAACCTTTTGAAGTGTTAGCTCCGATCTTCAAATGACCATACCTGCGGAGAAGGAAATCCGTAAGGTAAGGTGAGGTGTGAAATTTTTAGGGTTGACTTTTTCTAAACCCTTCCTCCCATTGTGAGAAAACAGCAGCACTTCAGGTGCTGGTTATCTGAGCTAAGTAACTGACTGCTGTCGCACCCCTCTACAGTCAACAATAAGACTTCACCCTCAGACCTTAAGTTGCAGCTTTTAGTCTTACCATTCTCCAATCTACCTGCCTGACATAATAGGACCTTAAAGAACGGATGGTCCAGTCATCTGGATAGGCAAGCCACCACGTAAAGGTAGAAGCTATCTGGTTGTGGGATCCACGAAATAATCGCGACGGGTGGTTACAGACTGAGTGACATGGCTCAAAACCGCTTACAAAGGCGCAGGTGCATCTATTCTTTGTCTTCTTTCAGATTTTAGCCTTCTGAATTGCTCATGGCGTCTTTTCTCTTTTCACATTTATTTCACTTGGATATACTTTTCGAATATCTTCGGTCTCCAACCTTTCCCATTACCGCTAATACTGCTACAATCTCTACTACTATGGGGTTTAGTTTGACGATTCCCTCTATATATGCTAATTTGGTATGGAAACTTGAACTGATGTGTGTACGTACGAAGTTCTACGTTGTTGTTGACTGACTGCTATCAAATACTCCATGATACTGTCTAAATACTCTTCATCTAACATTGGTTAGTAGTGTGAATCACTATGATGTAATTGACCCATCAATTTCTTTTTAATATTTGATATAATTAATCATTATTACTTTCTGACAATCTTATCATCATTTTCGGTTTGTTTTTTTTCCACAAGGTTCATCACATTGGATCCACATCCAGGCATTTTTGTTCATCCACTAACTGGTGGTGTTTTTGCTACTGGCAAACAAAATTCCACTGAATTAGATCGTGAATCAATGGCTAATTTCACTATGCGTATTCTTGTACGTGATGCTAAAAATCGTATTGGAACTGCTGTAATTTACGTGCATTTATTAGATATCAATGATTATCAACCGGAATTTATCGGTTTACCATATTATGTAACGTTTTGTGTTGGTTCAAGCACTAGTTTCAATGCATTGAATGAACAATCGACCAATCGTAGTATAGAAGCTAATCCTACTTGTAAAAGTTTGAATAACTTTAAGGTAAGCGGGTTATGTCTTTCTTTGAATCGATATATATATATATATATATATATATATATATATATATAATCATGATAACACTAAATTTGTTTCTCCTCTGCTTACAATAATCTTTATCAATAGTGTTATTGTTATATTAGGTTAGTGTTTTCTCATGGTTAGAAAGACCAATTTCTTTTTTTTGGCCTAAGCGTGGGAGCTTCAAATGATTAGATATTAATTTTTCTTCTCATAGATTTCTCTCCCTGCCTTTAATGAAATTTATTTTAGTTTCACGCTTCTTATTTTTTTTCTCAACTATATTTTGTTCGTTAGTGTATGAATAGGTTTGTTTGTGTGTGAATTTGTTTTGTTAAGGGATAATTCATCCAACTAGGCAAAATGGACTAATTTATTAAATTATTATATAAGATAAATAATCTGTGTGCTGGATTTAATTTTCTCTCTCTCTCTCTCTCTCTATATATATATATATATATATATATATATATATATATATATATATATTTATGTATATAAATGTTGATTTTTTTGTGTACAGTAGATACTTCATATGATCCTATGGTTTTGAATTATAAAAGTTAGCATTGATTGAATGTCGTTTCATTTGAGTCAATGTTCTTTGTCCACATTCCTAATTAAAAATTATTTTAATCAAATAATATATGACCTTAACTTAATAAAGTCAATGGACAATCATAGAATAATGAATAATTTTTATATACTAGTGTCCATTCTCTAGTGTACACTGACCGCCAAACACGGAATCGAACTCATGTGTTCGAGGTCTTGTAGTAATATTTTTAGATTAGGGAATTTGATGTCTAATGTTTGCTATTTTCGAATTTGGTTGATTAATGCATACTCATTAAACAAAATATCATCAGTAGGTTTGTTTTTAACTGTATATTCGGTTTATTTAGTTCCATTCGAGATTTATGAATCTAATCTAAAACTGGTCACCAGTAAGTAAACACAAATAATATCCATCAGACTGTTTACATGGATGCATTATGTGAAAGTTACACTATTTTCAAATTGAAAAGATTTCCACACAACCTCCTACTATGTGGTAAAAACTTTGTAAGGCCTTTGGTAATTTCATATATCATAGCATAAATCTTCTAATCGTTAGGATTAGAAGATATTATTCAAGAAGTAGAGTCTAGTGAAATAAACTTAAAAGAAAAAGATAAAGTGATGAGGAATTAAAAAGTTTGGGATTTGAGAGAACATAAAGAATGAATGCGCCTGCGCCATTGCAAACAGTTTTGAGCCATGTCATTCAGGGTCTCTAACCATCGATTACTAACATCTCGTGGATCCTAACCAAGTAGTCAACACTTACAGACTTTAAGTCAGGAGTGAAGAAAATTTACAGATAAGTAAGCATTCAATCTCTAGTTAATCAATCATGTTGGGTAATCATGTCTCCGATTCTTATTTCATAAATTTATGATTCATTTATCAACATTGTTACAATTGATATTTGTCATGTACTTTTAATCAAAACAAAATGTCATAACATTCAAGTATACTCAGATGTTGTAACGCATTGTTTGCAAATAACCCTTTTAAAACCACTCACAGATGTTCATCTATTCTTTGTTTAAGTTACCTAGTGATGTATGCCCAGTATAACTATCAGCACAGAAACATCTGAATTTCTAGATACTTATTGAATAGATGAACTCAAGTAACCGATTGTTTGTTTGAGTTGATATCTATCACTAGTCAACTAGAAAACATCAATATAAGATTAGCTGTATAGGACGAGATAGCTTTACAATAGTTTCTGACTTTCAATGATGGTTTAGCTAAACTTAACGCATAAAAATTCTGTAAAGTCCACAAAACCTTTCAATCATTTCAACGATGTTACTTATATCGCATGTATCCAATCATCGCTTGACTAAGTGTTCTTTCATTTTAAACTATATTTCCACTTATGTGTGACATTCACTCACTTAGTTCTTAGACTTACGTAAACTTCAAATATCTATTGATTACTTGGTTCATTATTTCATTTTTCAAATTGTAAGTTATTAATGCTTCATTTCTTTAATGATTTCTGTTACTGTCTTCCAATAACATTGAACGGCTGATAATAACCCCCGAAAAAATAGAATTCATTTAATCGTTCTTTTGTTGTTCTTGCTTCGTATGGAACGTAATGATCATTGATTTTACTGGAGTGGAAAGTTGATTTCATTTGTGAGAAGTTTCAGAATAAGATGAAATCTTTCACTTGAAACGATTACTTTTTTATATTTGTTCATATAAATTTGATTGTATTGAGATTTTATCTGTGAATAACTATCATACATATTACTTACAGGTTACAGCTATTGATAAAGATGAAGGTATAAATGGAACTGTAGTTTATAGTCTTACCAATATTCGTCCTAGAGCTGAACCACCATTATTATCTATTAATTCTACATCTGGACAAATATATTTACTTCGTAGTCTTCCATCTGATTGGACTGGTCGACAAATTGAAGCTATTGTTGCAGCAATCGATGGTGGAGGTCTCTCGTCAACCGCTGTTGTGAATATTCATTTAGTTGCTGAAAATGGTCCACAATTCACAGCCACGTTGTATTCTGCTACTATTTCGGAATCTGTTCCAATCGGTGAATCAATTACTTCCATTGAAGCAATCGGTATAAATAATGATGCTAGTTTAATTTATCGTATTGTAAATGTTAAATCGATTAAACAAACTCCAATGTCATCTAGTGATTTATTTCATGATTTCAAAGAACACAATCTATTATCATTGGAGGATTGTCCATTTGGACTTGAATTTAATACAGGTAAAATTGTCTCTTTTGTTATTTTTAAACTGTTAATAATAGGGTGGTGTTTTTTTTTGTTGTCTTGAAGTTGTTCATGTTTTTAATTTATAAGTCGAAAATAATTCATAATCAAACATAAATTAAGACGTAAGATGATGTAGTGAAGTTTGAAAATAATTTTCTATTTTTATACGCTTTGACTATCGAATTCACTAAAATTTGTTTTACATAATTCATAGTCTTTAATTTGCATGTTACTTTTTTTTTACGTCCCTTGTACACTCAAAACCTCAATCATAAAAGGTAATTTGGTAGTTTTTATTTGAACAAAAGAATTTTTTATCATTACCACTTCAAATATACGAATTATTCTTGTCATTATTGATTTAATTTCTATAAATGTAATACTTTGTTACTTTTGTACTATTTCAAACTTATGCTGCTAGCTACAAAATGTGTGTATTTAAATAGTTATAATAAAAAAAAGTAGATTTACTACTAACTTGCTTTTCACATTTTTTCTAAAAAAAAAATTTCCTATTGTCTTTTTATTTTCCTTTCATTTTAAGAGATGCTTTTTTTAATGCTAAGAATTTCAAAGTTTTTTTCTTTCTGTTCAGTTACCAATGTACTTTTGTGTACATCTATATATCAGTGATTGTAAGTTTGAAATTATGCTACACCTACTATTAATTCGATAATTTCATCAAATTACTTTTTTTATTTGTAAGTAGCTTTACTACTTTTTTTTCTTTATTTGTCTATCATATTCCTTTCGTTCTCTCTCTCTCTCTCTGTTTGAATATGTAAATAATATATTCATATACACATGTGCTTCTTATATGTGTGCAAAAGTGTAAAAATCTTCCAGCGTTGAGGAAAAAAAAATAGCAACATGATAGTTAACAGGAAGTCGATACAAATTTTCATCTCCAACTGTGGTTGCATAACTTTTCCATCTTTTTTTTTTAATTTCAACACCTATTTTGTTTTTCTACTACAGGCACAAAAGAAACTTTATGTTCATTTTCATTTGTGTATCGTTCTAATTTTTGGATGAAAGTACTCATTGACTAACTGAATGACTGACTGACAAATATGTACACGCATATAACCTAGGAGAAATTCGGTAAAACCAAGAAGAAGAAAAAAACAACACAAAGATGAAATTAAGATACAATATGTAGTAATGCTTAATCACTCACTCTCCAGTTAATCATTTTCGCCTTTTTTTCTCCTCTTGAAACTAGCTAACCTGCTATGTTATATGCTGTATTGTTGTTAGTCTGTGCTTTTCTTTTAATTAACAACACACATTTGCATTCAGACGTCAATATCAGTCAGATAGTTTTCGTATTCATTCATAGTTTGCTGCATCAATTAACCATTTGGTAACATTGACTTTTTCCTCCAGTTGTAACACACAGAACCACTAACCACCTGCTTTTCACCTGTTTTTCTGTTCGTTTAATATCTCCAATGTGTGAGAAGAAAGACCTCTACTAGTTGGTTTTACATATTCACTGCAGTATATATTTCTCTGTTTCTCTCTCACTCACCCTCTCTCTCTCTCTCTTGTATTTCACTTCAGACACTACTGTTAGTGCTTGCCAGATATTTCACTTATTCACATTTATTTACTCTTCTTTAGTGTTCTTTCTTTAGGTATTTTTTTTTCTAATTTATCCTCTTATATTTATTATTATTATTATTATTAATTACTTTAATCTTCATACTTTCAAGATGTGTTGTTTGTGTGCTGGTTAGAGGAGGATTGTGTTACATTTGATTTTCGCTCAATACATATAGCGAATGCATAAATATTTACCAATACAAACACACACACTCACACACACATAATTGTGTTTGCACACTATTTCGTGTACTTCTGACTATTTGTTTTACCGGTTTTTTTTCTTCATTACCAGTATAGTTTTGATATTAATTTAATTTAGACATTATATATATATATATATATATATATATATATATATATATATATATATATACGATGAAAATTATACTATCCACATAGACACAGTCATCACATAAAGAAGCCAATCAAAATTTTTATTTCCATTCAACTCATTCTTATAAACTATTTGATCATATCCCGAGTTTTTTCTAGTTTTATTTACTGATTATCATCGGTTTTGTCGGTCAATCCTTTGTAGTTTAGAAAAGCAAAAATATTTTGTGTGTGTTTGTTCGGGATTTTTTTTTGACGTAAATACCTTTCTCTCCCTTTTTCATAAATATGGTGTGTTGGGCAATGATTAAATTTACAAAATGCTGCAGAATTTTTACTGTTGATACATATTTGGAAATTTTTCTGGGTCATTTTACCGCCAAATTGAGCTGAAATTTTCTTAAAAGTAAAATTGGTTGGCTTTATACATTTGAATTTACTGTTTAGTCTTATTGTAAAACTTGCACTTATCAAAAAGGCTTAACGAATAACATAATCAAAGGTTTGTTGTGGTCATTGCCATTATTTTGTTAGTGAAATATTGCTTTGCCAACTTATATTTGACTGCCAGAAAAGTACTTCCCATCTTCTCTAACTTGATCAGTAGTATTGGAGCAGAGTGCCTGTACACTCTTGTTGTATTTTTTTTAATATGCTTTTTAAAGACTGACACCGCTATAGAATTTTCCGACCAACTGAGTCGAATGCCGCCTTAAGGCCAAAAAATATCATTTTAGTCGGACGTCTGGATGTATGTGTATGTTGAAGTGAAGTACTTAGTTTGTACATGCATATCCAGGTCTGAAACCAGGAGTTTACTCTTCACAAGTTCTAATGATTAGTGAAAATAATATTTTAAACACTGTATTATTCATACTGCTTCTTCTGTGGCTTTCGTAAAACAATCTTTATTGTATGTGAATTCCGACGATTAACGATGGCGTTATGTTCAGTTTCCAGGTTCTACGAATACCCAACCACTGACTGCCTCGACGAGCTATGTTTTGGGGTGTAGGAGTAGGTTGGAAGAAAGCTAGGGGCGGCCAAACCAAAACATGGCAGAAATCCATGAAGTCACAGACAAGTAGACTGAGTCATGTTGGTAGGTGTAGGCTAGCTGGTTGGGGTCCGCGAGATGATAATAATCGATGGTTAGAGACCTTGAATGACATGGCTCAAAATCGTTTGAAATGGTGCAGATGCATCCACTGTTTGTGTTCTCTCGAATCCTAATCTTCTGGACTCGTCAACGCTTCTACCTCTGTCTTTCTAAACTTATCTCACTGAATTATACTTCCTGAATATTATCTTCAAATCCTGATCTTCTCCATTAGCAGTAATACTTCTACTATCTCTACCACCATGGGATTTGAATTGACAGTTGCGTCTCTGTGCTAATGTGGTATGGCAACCTGAATTGATGTACTTACGTATGAAGTTCTACGTTGTAACTGACTGGCTAACTGATTTCCAGGTTCTAGATGTTATCTCAATGTGTCTAACTAGACTGCTATCTATCCTTAGTCTTTCATAGCCTAAAAGGAGAATATATGTGCTGTATAATATAATACTGACTAACAGTTTATTTGTTGGTTCTAATAATACTATATGAATTCGAAATATAAGATGACTTTTTTAAAAAGTATATTAAAACAAATTAGAATGAATTGTGAGGTGATTGTTTTCTTCACGATGCATAACTCTTTCGATAAAATAGATTGGCAAACTTTTTTCTCCTCTTATAATTCAATCAAGAACGCCTAATTAATAAGTTTATGGCTTTTAGGAAAATGAAATATGCAAAGAATATAAGTGGTAAATAATCTGTTGACTTGGACCATTCATTAAGTAAAATAAATTACATCTTATCTTGCTTTCCGTAACCACTATCCCACCTTCCTTAAACTTATTACATTACATTGAGGTTATTGCTTTAAATAATGGAAAGATTTATCGGTCTGTTTATTATTTTTTTTACAACTACATTTACTTCCACTACTGCTACTACTACTATTATCAGTAGTAGTAGTAGTAGTAGTAGTAGTAGTAGTAGTAGTAGTAGTAGTAGCACGAGTAGTATGTCTGGTGAACTAATTATGATGCATGCATACGTGGACATATTGTTTAGGCTTGTGTAATACTTGACATTTCCAATAATAATAATAATAATATCTTGCTTTATTTCCGTTACTGGCCATTCAATCTATTTTCTTCGTATTTTAACATATAAATATGTATACGCACACACTCACTCATTGTGTGCATGATTTTATGACCCTTACTACTACTATTACTACTACTACTACTACTTCTTACCTTACCCGCTGACATACAAATGTATAATAATAGTGTTGTTACTTTCATATTCTGTGGAAATGTCTGATTTTTCACTCTCGATCATCAAATCTGTTGCTTAAAAAATGTGGTTTATTTGTTATTCTCATCTTATATATGTTTTGATTGTACGCTTGTACATAGACTTCATTTTGGATTCTGTCAGCAACATCCTTGTTGCCTGAACGCTTCTACTGGTAGATATGATAGTAAATAATTGTTATTATCAATGAGAACATATCTATTTATGTGCTGACATACAGATACAATAAGATGATGGGGTGGATTTAGAGGAAAAAAAAAGCATGGCAGAATGAATTGTAAATATTATCATAATAACATTTTACATTGATTTTTGTAGTGGGGCGTGATTCCCCCCCACGTCCCCCAAAACTTGGGAATATGTATATATATATATATATATATATATATATATCAGTATTATATGCAACTAAGCAAGTAATTATGTTTTGTAGAATGGCGAGACAGAAAATATTATAGATCATTTGCCTATTTTGCAACTTCATCAATCACAAAACATACTAAGCACAAAGGTTACATACATACATATATAGACAACTTTTCACATCATTGTAAATTGGATTAATTAAATGCATGCTTGAATGTATCATCACTCAGTTAGTTGTCTAGTCTGTAAATTGTTTTGACCTGAAATTCCTTTGGAATTTGATAACTTTTGTCTCTAGCTCTCTCT